CGCTGGATAGCTTCTCTCCTCTCTGCCATTTGTTCACAAAGCAGAAGTCAAACGGCGTTACGTAACAGCCCTTTCTGTCCGTCCACAGTACAGCTGAGCGTGTGGAGAGAGCTCTTTTGTGTTAACATAGCTCACTTTTAAGGCGGCCTCTGACTGCGACACAGAGACCCCCTGTGTGAAATACATCATAGTTCAACTTGGTACCACCCCACCTTTGTTTAGTTTTCACAGGGACCGACAGAAGCTGGAGGCTGATTCAGATGAACTGATTGTTGCTGCTCTGGTCCGCTGGAGTCATAAAGCAGTTCGGGAAAAATCTATTTTATACTAATTAAAAATAAGATACTGTGTCTACTAGGGTCAGACAAATGTGTTGGGTCACATTCATTTGTTTTTTCCAACATCTAAAGAGATACAAGTTTCGTTATAATCACAGTGACATTAAATCGGCTGTCCCTTAACTGTTTTATTTATACCTGTAATTTAAAAGTTTGATAATGTTTCTTGTAAATAATATATTCAAATTGGTTGGCAATATTCAACTGTATACTATTCAGAAGGTGTTCAGGGTCACAGCTTTAGCTTGGGCTTAATTTCAGAGAAAGATCTGTTAGAAAGAACATTTTCTGTAGTTTCTTGCTCTAAAAAACATTGGTACAGTATCAGCTCTCAAAACAAAAAATAGTTTAGTACTGAAACAAATGTATCTCTAAAATATTATTCCTTAACAATAGTTGCGGGAATACACTTATTTTCTTTCTTTCCGAGAGTTAGATGAGAGGTTTGACAATCTAATTGCTGTAAGGCACGTTAAATATATAACTGGAGCATTAATATTGATATTAATTGACAAAAAAGTTGCAGTTTTTATTCAAACTAGAGTATCAACATACACATACATCTACATGTCCAGAACATGTTTTGATATCATATATCTAATCACACATTAGCATAGAACCAGTAAAGCTCATTGAGTAACTTCATCAGGTTGACTGAAGTATTAAAACCTGATGAACGGCTGAGTCATCCAGTAGCGAATTCCAGCCGTCCTCCATTGTTGGTCTGTCTCTCGTCTTCTGTCTCTACGGAGCGTTTGGAGGGGGTGGGAGGATTTTATATGGTGGTCTGCACAGTTGTTGAGTGGGTGCAACATTCCCAGGTGGCATGTGGTGACAAGTCCATCAGGACACGCCTGTTGTCAAAAACAAACAGACCCCCTACATAGCGAGGGTCAAGGTTAATGCTGGGACCTGTCCCGCCCAAACAAGAGCCTCAAAGCTCAGCCGGAGCCCCAGAAGGCTTCAGAGGGACCTGATGATTGTGGAATAAGGACTTGCTGTGCTCATCATCCAGAAGGTAATGCCCCCCGCCCCAGATCTGCGGTAATGTGTTGGGAAGCCTTTTGGGAGTTTATTGTTCTGGAAGGTATTTTAGATACACCCAAGAGTATTTGGTGGGAGATTTATGTTTCTGTGTGTAATGGTGCAAATGGGATGAATCCTCTTTCCTTTTCTGTGTACTCCTGCTTCTGGTTCATCAAAATGGTTTGAACGGTGAGGGCGTTTATTTGCTGGGATTTCCCGGAATCTTGACTGATCATTTTAGTGCATTAATAACACCTGTTAGAAAAAGTTTATACAAAGTCTCTCAGGTGTGAGAATTTGGAGTCTCAAGAGACAACCAGAATATGTCTGAGATCACATTGTAGCCATTTTTGTGTTCTTCAAATGCTTGTTTGATTCTCGTCCTGGTGTTACTGTTATGAGAGTTGGTCTCATGTCATTTGTCAGATCATGATGTGTCAGTTTACCAAGAATCCCCATTTGGAGAGTGTGAGCTTAAACCTTAAAAAGGTAATAGTTGTATCTGTTGAGCTACTCCGTCTTACTGTACGTACTACAGGACAGGCAACAACTACACATACACACAATAGTTTGATGCTATGACAATACGTATATATTTTTGAAAAAAGTTAAATGATGTCAAGAGTTAAAACAAAACGTATATGATTAACATGATCTTAAGCAATTAAATGGTTTACAGTCCAAATACACTTTAATAAATGTAATTGGAGTTGTATGTATACCCCCTATCTAACCAGAATGGATCCCTTATATCCTGTGTTGTAATATCTTTCAGTGATTTGTTTTTTTCCAAAGAGATTGGATTTGCAATGTTATTTTCTTTGAAAACTTACATTCAGATGGACTTATCTTTTCAATCTCTAGTCATATTTTCCCAAAACAATATTTGTATTTATTATGTGGTGGAATGTTCCTCCTAAACCTCCAATATAGTGTTTAGAGGTGTACATTCAGAAACAATCCAAAGTGTACATTTTGGATACAAAATTGCAACATATAGACGAAAGAAAATCAAATGCAAATAATCTTTTTCTTTCCCATTACAGAATATAAATAATGGTGAGTGTTCATCAAATCCATTTGTGTTCATAGAGAATTGTAAAATTGTGAAGCAGGGACATCTAAAAGCCTTTTTGATTATAAGGAGTGTTTTTGCACGGCTCTGCTCTGAGGCATCTCTTCCTAAAAAGGCCAGGGATGATTTCTGCTCTTGTGTGTTTATACAGTGTGGTGAACGCTGCAAGCTGTCATCTTCCCACTAACTATCATATAGTCTGTGTGTGAGAGGATTGAATACTCCCTTTAATACTGTATATTTACAATGTTGGGGTTCATCCGAGGATACAACGGAAGTAGGGTTGAGATCAGTGTAATGAATGCCTGTTAATGGTTTTGGAAATGAGAGCATTGATGCGTTGTCTCCCCGGGATGCAGGGGGTCAGGAAGCAAGTTGACTTTATTAAAGAGAAGGGAAATAAATACAGAGCTCCTGGTGCTCTGGGACAGCTCGGCTCAGAGGCTGCAAGAGCTTTTAAAAGGTTTTTAGCTTGGTGTCCCCGGGGGACCTGTTTGGAATCGCTCCCATTTTCCCTCATCCATTTAGGGCCTATTTGTGGAGGTTTCCAGCTGGAACATGAGTCCCCTGCCTGTTCTGCAGGTTGGCTTATTTACCGCCGTTTGTATAAACACAGTGCACACGCAGTCCCACGCTAACTAGCAAACACACAAGTTAGAAGACATTCGAATGAGTTTCCTGTTTTTCCCATTACCATTATCAATAGCCTGCAAACAAAAACATTATTTGTGTTCGTCTGTGTGACAGTTTGATTGCTTTTTTTATGTTTTTGTGTCAATTCAATCAGCCTTTCCTTGGCATTTGAAACGGGGACGTCTCCTAAATCAGCGGTGCTGGCTGAGCTCAAAGAGGCCCGGCGGAGCAGTGGGAAGTGTTTCACAGACACTGTTCTGGTGGCCCTGGTGTTCCTTCTGCATGCTCCACTGATGCAGCTCAGATTAACATATGTTTGATCTCTCTAAAGCCCTCCTCCTGCCCGTCCTTAAAGGGGAACACAGATTCATATTCATTTCATTGGTCAAGGGCTTCCTCCCAAACTAAACTTAAGGCATGCAAAGTGCAGCTTGTCACGCCAAAGTGTAAACTACTGAATTCTTGTCCGCAGTTAATTTTTTACATTTTAACTAGTTTTTAGCCAGAGATTAAAGGTAGTGAAGTACATTTACTCAAGTACTGTACTTAAGTACATTTGTAGGGTACTTTTAATTAAAGTCTTTCATTACTTCATACTTTACACATTTTAGAACCCAAGATTATACTTTGTACTCCTCTATATGTATTTGACTACTTCACTTGTTACTTAATAGATCCAATTTATTGGCTAATATGAAATATAAATCAACTAATAAAAAAGCATTGCCATAATTTATAGGTTAAGATATGCAACAGCAGCATATACGTAATACAAATGAGCTCCACCCTTACCAGCTGTGATGAACACATTAAAGGGGCCCTAATTATTTTTCTTTTGCTTGAGTAAAATATCTGAGTACTCTTTCCACCTCTGGTTTTGATTAATAACAGAGTCTCCATTGTAGTTAAAATGATTTAAAGACAATCCACAGACAATCCCTTCCCTAATTATTTTCACATGTATCAGCTGTTGCCATCCTTGATTAGATAGTTGTTTGGCTTTGTGATCATAGATATCGTGATGAAATAGCACATGAGGAACAGTGACATTAGATTGTTAGGACACAGTCAACATATTGTCTTGCTGTTTGCTCCTTTTTCTGCAATCGGATTGGACAGTACATCATCCGATTGTCATTGTTTTATAAAGCAATACATTTTCTATTAATGACACAGTTAAAGCTTGTGTGTCATAGACTACATTTGATGACTGGAGGTTCACCGTCTTCCTGTCTGGAACCATTGTATCTCATTTCAGTGTGTAACCCAACCATTGTACTACCACAATTTCATTAGCTGTATGCGGTCCCCAATTACAGCTATTGGTTGCAGTGCGTCCACTTTCCCTACAGTAGAAGCGACAGCCTAGCCAGCCCTTTCAATGATTCTTCTGTATACCTAATATTGCCACACACTCTTCCATAATAAAATACACTGCATGCTGAAGGCAGACTGCAGCAAAGCAATGGCCCGGGTACCAAACGTACCTTTTTATATACTGATATCTGCTGGTAGTCACATTGTTTTTTATAAAGAAATTGTCAAAATGTTCTTAATTCAACTTCTTAAATGTGAATATTTCCTGGTTTCTTTACTCCTCTATGACAGAATATCTTTAGGTTGTGGACAAAAAAGACGTTACTTTGATAAGGCTATTTTGGCCTTAACAAACAATGCTTATCATTTTTGACATTGTTCTGATATTTCATGAGCTCTTCAATAAAGGTCAAAATACACTCACGCTTATTTACCTTCTTAACTGCTTCGTACAAACATCAGTATTGATTCAACTGTCTGTGACATGTAAATTGCCTTGTGTTGCTGTACCAAGCATCTTTGTTTATCTTCAGGTTAAAGTATCATTCATATCAGCAGCTTTCCATGACAACACTGAGTTCAATATTTGTATCCCTGTGTTTCTTCTCCAGGGCTCTCCAGAAGGGGGCGGCGTGAGACCGACCACGACTCCCAGTAAGTCATCTCAGTCTGGAGTAGTTTCAGTGCCTTTGGTTGAATTGAATGCTGGTGAAGCACTCTGTACTGTACCGAATAAGAAATGTTAGATACTTGTAACTCCCTAAAGTCTTTTGTCATCATGCTTCTTTATGGTTTTAACTCTACTACATTCACTTTAAATATTAAGTACTAATATTTTTGCAGATTTACATTATTAATTCAAAATAATGATCAACTAATAAACTATTATATGTTTTTATAGCGTAGGCTACCCAGCAGAATATCAACTTTTAATTCAATCAAACCCTACATTTACCATGCAGGGAAGTGATGAACACGTTAATGCATCAATAATTATAGAACAATCGTTTATTATATTTGGTTCTGTAAAGTACCAAACTGCAAAAATTACTACTTTTAGTTTTAGTACTTTAAGTATATGTTGATATACTTTTGTACTTTTACTTGAGTGCATTTTGAATGCAGAACATTTAATTGTAATAGAATAATGTTATACTGTTGTATTACTTTTCTTAACCCTTAGATGCACTTAGAGTGACTGGACCACATACACTCTTCCATAAGTGGGTCAAAAAGGACCCGTATTAGAATAATGTGTTTTTATGCCATTTTTGTCATTTTGGTTAAGTAAAATCACTTGTATATTATTTAGTATTATATTTTGGTTCACACTAGAAATATTTTATATTTCATTTTTCAATATTTATAATTTTAGAAGAAAAAGATTTACATTTTGAAAAAAAACGAAATTCCATAGAAAATGCATGCGGGTAATTTTTGACCCACTTATGGAAGCTTGGGGTAGTAATACAAAAACTACAATTTCTTAAAATTTATAAAATGTCAATTTAAAATTTGAATGGCATGATATCCAAAACATGTTTTTTGAGGAATAGCTGGAATATGAAATGATAAAAATGTTTAATTACAAAGATACTCTAATACCTCATTCACACCAACGCAACCCCGGTTCAAGCTCCGTACTAGAGCTTTTCAGGTTCAGAACCGGTTCTTCGGTTTAGCTCCGGCTCTTTTCACACCGCCCAGAGCCCGACTGGTGCTGCGTCATTGCGTCATCGTTTGCGTCATGACGTAGCCGTTTGCGTGCCTGCTTCATAAAGCCAAACCGCGCAGAAACCCCTCACAGCTGACACCGACAACAACAACAATGGCCAATTGTGCTCCAGCTTCCTCTGTACCTCTTCGGAAGACCAGATTCCCAGGTGGTAGCTGGTCTCTTCACCACTGCTGCTTGTTAAGTTTCTCCATCGTTGTGTACAAACTGGATAAAACGCGGACTTTTTGTTGTTGTTCAGGAGTTGATCCCGCCCCTGCCCCCGCCTCGACGTAAGCGTGACGTATGCGGTGCTTTTGCTCTAGCAGGACAATTTTTTGGTGCTTGAAACTAACCGGATTCCGGAGCTAAGAGGCTGCTCCGCTGCGGTGTGAACAGGAAAACCCGGTGCTTTTCAAGCTCCAGCTCCGAACCGGCCCTGAAACACCGTTGGTGTGAATGAGGTATAAGAAAACCACCTCACCGGTTCAAAAAAGACCCACTTGAGAAATTGCGAGACAATTTAGTACGGCCCTCGAGGTAATTTATAAACACACGCAAAAAAGAAAAAAATGTAAGAAATCTAGACCGCAAAAAAATTAAACAAGCGAGTGCCTGTTTTTCCTGGACAAGGTCAGGGTCCTTGAACACAACACGAGCCTAACGTGTCATCACGTGGTATATGTCTCGACTGACAGCTGTGCAGTTCTGACGGAGAGCACCAGAACGCTGCTTCAGCACTTCAGAAACTGCAGTACCGATAAGGAGCCGTACACATGCCGCAGTTTCTGCGTGTCTGTGTCTTTAGTTGTAAGCCCAGTGGCGATCTGTTCATCTGTCATACAAATCATACAGTCAATAACTTTGTTGTTATTAGCATCTGGTTAGCTAGCTATGCTAACGAATATAAGAAGCTTTTTCTACAACCAGTGAGGTAAAGGAGGCACATCTTTATATGATCATTATAGTTAACAAGAGAATAAAGTAAACAGGTATAAAATACTATATGACAGTAAACAAAAGTTGTTATTAATAAAGAAGAATACAGTTTAAAGGGGAGTGATTTGTCAAATATTCATAAAGAAAAAGAAATCTGCTTCCAGTTCTGTTTCATCTGGATGTTGAGAGATGTATCCATTGATCTCCTAATGTTGCTCTCAAAGTGCACCAGATTGATGCTTTTAACTTCAACATTTAAAATCTTCCCGGGGGTGCTGGAGGAGGTTAGCCCCCCCCCCCCCCCCCACCCCCCCCCACACTTAAATCATGTTCACATGGATAGGAAACGAAATATATTTGCAAACATCTTGTGTCCATATCTTTCTGTTTTGGTGGTCACGCCACACAGTGCATGCATACGCATGTGGTCACACCACGCCACACCGTGCATGCATACGCATGTGGTCACACCACGCCACACCGTGCATGCATACGCATGTGGTCACACCACGCCACACTGTGCATGAATACGCGAGTCATGGTGAGATATCTGGATTAAGAGGTTGCTTTTTCTTTGCACAGAATTAAATGAATGGGCTGTGATTTTAGTTTTTTTAAGCAGAGGTCAATAATTTGTACGGCCCTCTGAGGATATTGTAAAAATTGAATTGGCCCTTGAGAGGAAAAAGGTTCCCCACCCCTGATCTAAGGGTTAAGTAAATAACGGAGTACTTTTCCACCTCTTCATCCATTCACACAAGCAGACACAAACATGTTAATTTAAAGCTTTTAATGGAATGATGTATGCTCTCTCTTCATCTTGAATTCCTTCTATCAACTTCTAGATTATGAATTGAATGAGATTTGTGTGTGTTTTGTGTTTGTATTAAAGCCCCACGCGGTCCTCGATCAGTCTCCGCTGTCCGGATCACGCCTCTGAAGACCATGAAAGGCTCTCCTGACCTGATTCCTGCCGCAGGTTAGATATCCCTTCGCCTCATCAATCTTTCAGGGCCTACAACAGTGGGACGCCTCACACTCTCATAGAAAACATGCAATGACACTCTTAAAACTCACTTGTTAACAACGTGGTGTCACTTTAATAACCTGTGTTGAGATGGGACGATCTCCAGCTGCTCCACATCCAGCTCTGTATTAGTTTTACAGGACAGGAAATTAATTTGATGGCCTGGTTTTGATGTTACAGTTCTATTTCGGTCATTTGGGGCATGAGGTAGCAATAACTTAGATTTCCAGCAAACCAAATATAACAAGAACGATGAGGAGCTGCGGAGATGATGCTCTTATTTTTCGTTTTCTTCAGATTTGGACCCCAGCAGAGTGTGCAAAGGGAAAGGAGTGGTGACTCTTAGGGCCACCCTGGTCCATATAGACGAGGAGGGCTGCATCAGCCGAGAGCCAAACGTCATCACAGCGCCAAGTAAGTCAGAGCGAATGCCACAGCTGCTTCATAACAACTCTCCGCATGATGAAAGAATATTTGTGGGACAGTAACAGTTGCACGGCCGTGTGAAAACAGGGCACGTCACGGTGCGATGTGGACACACTCTGTGAACGTTGCCGTAATTTAAAAAGAATGCCATCATGTCGTTAGAATTCCCCACATGCCTTTCACAGGTCTCTTTGGATGTCAGGATTATATTAGTCGTCATGTTTTGATATGTGTGCTCGGTTGGTGGACTTAAAGGCCGATTGCTCATATTTTCATGCGAGTGTCAAAGGGCTTTATTGTTGCGGCCTGCCCACTGCACTTTGGAGCAGGGGGCCGCAACTGTGGGCCTGTTTGTTACATGGAGCACATTAGAACCGGACTGGAGGCCGGCCAAGGCTTTTGGGGAGATGCTTTAATTGTTGTAGAGAATATAAAGGCCATCGGAACAAACAGCCTTTGCAGCTCGCTGAATAGACTCTTTGTTCTGACCACAAAGTTCAGAAAACTGTGGGAGTATCTTTTCTTTTTTTCCCTTTCCTGGGCATATTAACATCTCTGTGCATGGAAACCTCCAAGCAAAGCATTCACGCCCTGCGGAAAGAAATGGAGATTTATTTGATAGCTGTTATACTGAGTACTTTTTAGTGTCATCCTAAGTGATTTTATTCCCGCTGCGCTGGCTGTCAAACTGAGAATGTTCTGGACTCTTTTCAGGTGACTGGACAGGCCAGATTAATGGAGACAGCTCTAAAGCAGGATTGGCAGAGGAAGGCAGCAACATCACAGCTGATTTACCACCTGTAAATAACACTCAGTGCAAGGTACGTTTACTTTCACCCAATAGGATCTTACTATAAGAGCTGTGTGATCTGTTTATTTTGAAGTCTTTGTATTAATTAAACAGCGTACTTTCTGTTATTTTCAGGCAAATTCACCAGAGAGCATAAAAGCAAACCAGGCTCTATGGTCCAGTGATATCCAAAACTGTGTCTCGTCTCCCTCCGGCTCTGTTTACCCCTGCACGAGCACAGTGAACCCCACCATAGTCCTGCTGCACCACAACAGAGGTGAGCACACCTGTCTTTTGCATGCATTGGTGCATTTTATGTTACTCTGTGATCCATTAGCCTTGTCTTGTTCTGTGTCACACATGATGTCTCACTTTTGCTTCACTGTTCAGTCACATTTCACTGTGCTTGTCCTTCTCTTTCTCTCACCACAGAGCAACAAAAGCATCTTTCTCATTTTCAAGGTATGGGGTCTTGGTGATTTCTATTTGTAATTTATTTTTCATTTCAGCAGTCGTAGTTTTATTACAGCGCAATATTTGTTTCTACTCAACTGAAGCATCTGTCACCCTCCCACTGCCTTGACACAGCCGGCTAAATGCCACATGCCTGATGAAGTGAATGAGTCATGTTTTATGAGTCAATGTGTTGGAAAATAATTGAAACGTTTATTTGGTGACAAGAATGTCCCAGGCTATACAGAAACATCAAGGCTACGAGTTATGTTATGTATATTTGTCGTTTATTTTCTAATATGATGCTAATTTAAGACCTGCGTCACACTAGATTTCATTTTGTGTCCGTTGCCAGATAAAGATTAACACTTTCATCCACTTACTTGACACCTGACACATCTCATTCATGCGGCCAACTGTCACATGCTGCATAATGTGATGCAGTGTTTACCTCGGGGTCAGCTGTTGTTATCAAGGCTTTACTGTCATGAGGGAACAACAACAGAAAGTTCCAAGAGAATAGGGGGTGAAAAGGACTTTGGTGACACGTAGTAAGCAGTCATGCAAAAACAAGAAACTACTATATATTTCAAATTTGTTGTGATATATGTCAAGTCTTTTATGCAATGGCAAGTGTTGCTAAATAAATTTCCCTCAATTTATGATATTGTATTATCATAAATGAACTTTTTTTTGTCGTACAGAACACATTCTGTGAGGCAAAATCTAGTGAATTATATGTATAAAAGGCAAAATGTTAATTTGATCAGGGGCACATAACATGCGGTACCCATAGATTTTCCATAGGTTGAAACCTGTAATAAAGTTTATAGTTTTGGAACCAGAGGCCTGTACTAGGAATCCAGTTCAACATACCCTGGATATGTTTGAGTTATCTGGCTTAACTAACCCAAAACAAGCGCGATCTCGCTAAGCGGCCCTACGGCGCTGGTTATCAACTCGGTAACTCAAGCCAGGGTTTCTCTCTCCGGCTGAGTGCGCGTTCACATGAAAGGGGCGGGGTTAGCAACATTTGACCAATCACAAACATGGACAAGCATACTGACAGCGCAACATCATACTTCCTGAATTAAAAGTAAACTATAATATTAGACAAATATGAAGACGTTGAACTTTAAACATCCATGACTTAAACACTTTATCCAGGATAAAAGCCACATAGCTGCACCTGCAAGGTGATATTATAATATTAAATATTATAATATATAAATATTATAGTAAACTCAAACATATCCAGGTTATGTTAAACCGGCTTCGTAGTACAGGCCTCAGGTCTAACACACATCAACACTTATTTGTCATTCATACTTGTATTTTAATTTCATCCCGCCTGTCATTTGCTGTACGCAGCCCACATTATCTGTATATCTAATGTCCTGTAATTCAATGCAATACTTCAGTGTCATGAGTCATTTCACTATAAATGCTCTTTGAACTTTTGTCTGGCTTACTGATGTGTTTTTGTCACAGACCCAACCCCAGAAAGGGACAAAAGCCCTGATCCGGGGAGGGACTCGGTCAGTCCGGATGATATGGACTTGAAGAGGCTGCGGCTGTCTCTGCACTCCCCTGACTTCAGTCCTGTCAACAAGCCCATTGTGCCTGTACGGGTAAGCAACACAACCGCCTGTCAGATGAAGATAAATCTACTCACTGCGGATGTTTAGAGGGTGTGTTGTTCATATGATAAATGGTTATTTGATGTAACAGTAAAAAACATTGTTTAAAGCATGTTACCAAACGTGTTTGTAATATACTGTAGTCAGTTGTTGATTTGTGCTGTATTTCTGAAATGTTTCTTTGATTTGGTAATCATTTTTTTAATCGATCAAAATAGTTTTCTCTCTTGTTATTAATTTATGTTCACACGAAAATAAATCTTCTTCTCGTATATAATGATTTTAAGTTTTTCAAGAAATGTCAACAGCTGGGGAAAAGAAGTACAGAAGTAATTTACCTTTTTATGCGGGTGACATTGTATGTTTAAATGATTACAATAAATAACCAAACCTGCTTATCCACAATATGTGTTTACTTTGTTTTCAGATTGCAAAGAGAAATTGAAACTGTCTTTGAAGACAGTGTGAATACTTGTACTCCTATTTATAACGTGGGGTAAGCCTCTTGTGGCTCAAATTAGTATTACAAAAACAAACTCAAATAATTATCCTATAAAAACAAATCATCTGCCAAAACTTTTTTTTTCACCTGTTCATATGTCACAAGAGAAAACAATTTAGATCAGACTTAGAAAAATGTACCATTGAATTGTTTTCTCATTTACCTCTCAGGTACATGTTCATCCTCAACTATTAATGAAAAGTCTCCACATCTCCATTTCAGAACACAGAAAAGTCCAAAGACTGGTACAAGACAATGTTCAAACAGATCCACAAAATACCTGGTAAGAGACATTTATCAAATCTACTTTTTGTATGTGGGATCAGTTTTGTCTATCATGTTCCTGTGCTGTTGTCCAAGCCCTGTGTGTGTTTCTATATGTGTGTGTTAATATGTTTGTTTGTCATGTTGTCCTCTGTCTCTCCATCACTGTGCTCAGAGGCTATAGAGGAAAACCCTTACCGTCCCACCTACATTTTCCCCGAGAACTGTGATATTCAGATGAAATCGAAAGGTATCCGCTGACAGTGACTCCACTCTTGTTGGCTTGATAACTGATCTGCAGCCATCCTCGGCCCTTTCAAATACTTGAGCTGTGTTTTAACCTGTGAAAAACAAAATATCTTAAAGATGGCCTCAAGTATTTGAATGGCTTTTACCTAATCTTTCCCGACATCCGTTCCATAACATAGCGCCGTTTTATATGAACTGCAGGTTTCGTGCACACTTCCTGTGTTGCTGTCCTGGGACATTTTCTACATCACTAAGCTTTTGGATTTAAAGGGCTTTATTTTACAGAAAATATGACATGTGACATTAAGAAAAGCACAGGTGTAAAAGGATAAAATGAGTGATGGCTGAATGCCATTTAGCTGTTTCTGTGTCAGAGTCTCGTATTGGCTCACTGTCAGTCTGTCATGACCCACTGCCACACTTGAATAGAGCAGAGTCATCGTTTACGTTATTAGTGACACATAGGCTTTTCCTACTATGACAAGTCCAAATCTCTGCTGGTACAAAAACAGTTTTTTAACGTATTATATTGGACATTAATGTAATGTAATGACAGTCCACTAATTTGCCACATTCAAAGTAAGAACCCTGAAGAAGTCCAACAGTGCTAGTTTATTATAGAGACAGATTTGAAAGGAGGAGGGATTTACACACGCAAATGGTCCACATGATTGGAAAATAACTCGTAGTTACAAACTGGGTTGGCATTTGAGAGTTGCATTATGGGAAATGTAGTCAGTGTTTCTGTAGCTTTTATTAAGTGGAAAAAATCAGGATATCTCAGCTTCTGCTGCACACATCTTTACAGAATCTGTCTCTTGTAAGTCCCCCAATTTTATAGAATTATCATATCAAATTGCTGGAGTAACCCTTAAATGTTTTGCCATGTCATTAACAATAACATTTGTGGGTTAGTTTCTAATTCATACTCTCACAAAACAATGGTTTAGGCTTTAAGAATCATTCTTGATTCAAACATACTTATCTGGTTAATTACAGCATTGATAAGTCATGTTGAGGAGGATGCTGCACGAAACCTGGTAGTGCCATTCTACTTTCACTTAACAAATTGTAGCAATTACTCATGGCTTTTTTGTATTTGCTGTTAACCATCAAATAATTGATTGATGTGAATAATCTTTATTTTTCAAACATGTCATAAACGCCATCATCAAGAGCATGAGCAGTCTTTGGATGTAGCGTGCTTTGGTGGCCACTAGATGCTGCTGCAGACCTGCACTTTAGTCTGTACTGCCCTGTGTCTGGTCTTACAGGCACTACACAACCTTCAGACTGCGTACCGCTCCTAACAAGCTTCATCTACTAAGGTCAAAGTTTGGTTTGTCTAAACTTGACCACAATGTGTAGTTGAGACTTACTCTTTAAATGTTATGTCACACAGAAATACATTACTTATTCAGAGATAAGTTTGAACGTGGCAATCGTGACCTTTTTGCTGTACAAAGCATTACTTATTCAGAGATAAGTTTGAACGTGGCAATCGTGACCTTTTTGCTGTACAAAGCATTACTTATTCAGAGCCTTGATCGATGCTTGCATCCCTTTTGAGCTCAGTAATGCTTCCAGTAAAGTGCTTTGAATCGACACACTTTGATTGTGTTTGATGAATCTGTAATGCCTAATGGAAGGTGTGAGGCAGGAAGGAAAACACAGGAAAAGAGTGGTTTTAATGCCTTGTGAATTATTTAGGTTTGGGCTATGTTCATTATTTTTCCTGTAACAGATTACAGATTGTTGTAAATTCATTTTGGCTGTTGTTTGCCCCTGCTTTCAGATGATTGTCCCACTCCCTTTGGTTACTTGGAAGATGGTGAGTTTTGGCTTTCATACAAAAACAAAATCATCCATTATTAGTATTTGTTGAGAATGATCTACATTACATTACATTGCATTTATCTGACGCTTTTATCCAAAGCGACTTACAATAAGTACATTCGACCAACAAAACACAAACTTGAAGAAAACAGAATCATATAAGCACATCAGGCTTCATAGAGCAAAAACATTTCAAGTGCTACTCAACTGGCTTTAGGTAAGCCAGTCCTTTATTAGTATATAAGTGCTTTGTTAATAGTTCTATCGCTCTAAGTGGAGTCGAAAGAGATGAGTTTTCAGTTTGCGCCGGAAGATGTGCAAGCTAACTGCCGTCCTGATGTCAATGGGGAGCTCATTCCACCATTTAGGAGCCAGGACAGCAAACCCACGTGTTTTTGCTGAGTGTCTAAAATGACACTCGTGAATCAAACACAATCCGCTCTTCTTAATCATCCGTAATATTTCAGTTGATGCTTCAATGACCGTCAGTATTTGTGTGCCTGTTTCCAGTGAGAGCAGTCCCGCGCTCTAAGAGTGATGCCGAGATGGATTCAAGAGGCCGCTCGATGCCCGTGCCAACGCGCTCCTCTTCCCTCAAACCCTCTGCCAAAAGGTCAGCATCCTCCATCTGCTCCAACCGTCCTTATGACATTCACTTTGGTGTTTAACACAAAAGCACAGCACTGTTCAGGATTGTTAGTAAAGAAAGGAGCTGTTTACAACTCAGAATGCTGATATCAATCACCAAGAATATAACTCTAAGAAGAGAAATGATATGTATGTCTGTTTCTTAAAAGAGTTCCAGTGATATCAAACCAGGCTGTGAAGTTGGTGGTAATTAAATGTTCTAACAGCATGACCTAAAAGTCACTTTCAGAAAAAACCGTTGTCTTTTGAAGAACAGTTTGCATTGTTTATTTCCCTACAGTGCTAGGAAGCCCTTTAAGCCAATGAGTCGAATAATTGGTCACTTTAGTCTTATTCGACTTTGTTTAATTAGTTTTTGATTTGACATATTTGTTGACTTATTATGAGCACATCTCTGGTTAACACAAGACATAAAGGGTTGCTTTCGCACAATTCTTTGTAAAGTTTCACAGATCTGTCAGTTAACTACATTAAGTGTTCTTTAAGTCAAGGACAGCCCGAGTGCACAGCAGGTCAAAAAACAATGTCTTCTTCCTCCTGTTGTTGATGTTGTTTTTGTCCCAGGCGGCGTTCACAAGCATGTTGCTTGTGCTGGAGGTGTGATTAGTCTCTCCCCTCCTCAAACACATACACATGTCAGCACAGACACAAAATGATCTGCTCTAAAAAATGAGTGATGGAGTGATGATGGAGGACAGGTGATGGAGGATAAACTGTTGCCCACTAGAGCTGCAGATGACATGTTGAGGACTGACCTTCCTCTTCCCTCCGGTGTTATGTATGTAGGGGGGCATTGTGAAACATGTAAAGAAAATGCTGCTAGATGTTCTGACTCTCAGAAAGAATGTCATTACAGAAAGTGTTTATTGTGACGCCATAATAGGTGTTAGATGTCCTATTTAAGAGTCTCATTCCAGTCTGTTTAGTAGTACATTTAGCCTTGGCTGCCTGTTACAGTAAGAAATTCTCCCAGGAAATAACACGCTCTGTTTTATGTCACTGGGTCCAATCTTGTTTACCTTATCGAATTACCAATTTGGCTCGACCGGATTTTCTGTCATATCATCATTAGAGGAAGTGAGGGACAGGAGAGGAGAGAGAGAGCGGGGATAATGAGGGCGCACGTCATGTTTGAATAAAAAAAACATCTTAGCCTCTGCTGGTTGCCATGGAGACTACTTGATAAGGATTGGCTCTCTTCCATCCCACACCCCAACCCTCCCTGACACCCGCCTCTCCACAGGAACGAGTGGGAGCCCCCGGATAAAAAGGTAGACACCAGGAAGTACCGCGCCGAGCCCAAGAGCATCTTCGAGTACGAGCCAGGGAAATCGTCGGTGCTGAAGCTGGAGAGAACGGTATGTTAGCCGCCTGATTCCCTCTCTCTCTGTCTCTACTCTTCTCTCTGTGTGCATGTTGTGTAAGCTGTGCCCTCATGCACACCCCCCACCTACCACCTCTGTATCCGAGCTCCCGGGTGGCAGCTTCACTAACAGCTCAGGCGGCGACGTTATGTGTAGTCTGAATTCACCATGTGCACCGCATTCCTAAAGGGTGTCCTGTTGCGGTGACAGATGATCCTGCTTGGCAGCAGGGGGGTATCACTTACAGGGATAGCCATTGTCTTCCTTTCTTCAATTTAAGGTTATTGGGCCGAAGCAGCTCGGTGTGAGAGGATCCCAGAGCAGACACAATACATACATCCTGTGTGTGTGTTTATAGAGAGGAAGTGTAACGCTCTTTACTTTCAGCGCAAGCCTTAGCAGTTTGCGCTAAATCAGTTGACACGACATTTTTCAGTGTCCTTGAGAACTGTCACTTCAGGATGAGCTTTGTTAAATATAATATACATATAATTATATAATTGGCAAGATCTACAGTGTTATAATTACCAAAAGGAGAACACACACACATCACATTTCCTTCTTACATAATATAGGACATGGAGGTGATCAGTATTGTGATTAACTAGTTGATTATGAAATGATTGTTTGTCTGTTGCGTCAAGCTAGTAGATGTTGTTAGCCAGGATCCCGGTGGCACACTCATTAGAGAGAGTTCGCTCCAGTTCATCCTGGGACTTCTGCACAATAATGAAAGAATGTTGTTTTCAATCAAGCTCACTTACTGTGGGTCAGTGTTCTTGTTGCGTCAGCCGGTCATTTTCTACGTCAGGTCTATTATTTTTATTCTCTGAAGCTTCAAGTTGTGTTGGCACTGACTACCTTAGGACATCACAAAAATATATATTTTAAGATTATCTTCAAAATGTAGTGTTCATTGGTCGTCATCAGTATTTGCCTGTTGGTAAGAATAAAATGAAAACATTAAATATGTAGTTCTAACCCTGACTTGGTACAGGGTTTTTTACCGGCCTATTTTAATGCATTACCCTGATATACCCATATGTCCATTGGAACAGTTCATGGTGGCTTACATTTGACTTCCTGTCCAAGCCAATTCCTATAGGAAAGTTGCAAAATTGCATTAAAACTTCAGCCGAGGTTAATATGAGGCTTAAGCCATCAAATCAAATGAATTCTCTACCAAAGTTAAGGCCATTTATTAAAAAATCCCTCTTTGTACTTTGGAATCATATTACTAGCATGTATAAGAGAAGCAAGTACAGTGATCTGTAGCTTTATTAATATACAGTGTATACAGTACTTGTACCAAATACCAATGTGTATATATTGTATCAAAGGAATGGTTTGACATTTAGGGTAATATGCTTATCTGCTTTCTTGTTAAGACTTACATGAGTAGGTTGATGCCACCAGCAAATTAACCTATAGGGGTGTAGCATGAGCCAAGAAAGAACCTTTTTAAATCTTAATCACGGATTAAGTAGAATTATGTTTCACTATTGTTAATATTAGGAATGTATGCTGCATTAGTGTCCTGTCTGAATAATATTAAAAAAAAAACAACATGTGGTTGACCTTGTTTGTTTTATCACAAAAACCGAACTGTTAAAGTGACTATTACAGTTTTGTGCCAGACTATTACTGTAGTTGGCTGGAAAAGGGGCTTCCTTCAGTGTCAGTTGGTTGCCTAGCAATCTCACTGGGACAACAGAACTTCAGGTTTTTGTACAGATTAAACAAATGTGATTATATGTGCTGCTGGTATGAGGATTTTTTTAACGATTACAGCTGTTTCCCCCCGTTTACAGTCTTTGTGTTAAGCCAATTGGCAACTGGCTGCAGCTTCATATTTATCAAACAGACGACAGTGGTTTCAATCTCCTCATCTAGCTCTCTGCAAGAAAGCATTAGGCGATTTTCAAAAGTAGCAAACTATTACTTATATTACTTATAACTAATAGTCTTTCGACGAAAATAATAAATTTGAACCTATCCTTTTATTTACTGTGATCCGTAGCTAGCTTCCTTAATGAAAACACCTATAGTATTGCTGATCATTTCTGGTGTTGGGTACAAACATAAGCCAAACAGTATACAGTATATAATATGTATTATTCTCATTTTCTTGGTGTGTTTTCTGTCCTGTCTGAACTGTCTTCTCTTTGTCTCTCTCCTCCTCTTCTCGTTGCCGTGCCCCTAGACTCAGGATGTAAATCCAGAAGATGTAAATGTAAAGAATGAGCCTTGGTATAAATTCTTTTCAGAGATGGAGTTTGAGAAAGGGGTAAGTGGTCACTGTCTTAAACATGGCAGTATATTTTATTGCATGTGATAACATCCATGTTCAAATAATGCCTAAACAAACTGTGTCTGTCTGTAAGGATACTCCAGTTCCCAACTTCACTTGCAATATTTTTCTGAATATTGTGTTTATTTCTTAAGCACATCAAAAAAGTGACGGCATGTATAAGAGGAAACGTGTTTCCTCTTGAACTAAATGTACTACCATGTGAGACCTAATGAGACTCCTACTGATTTTATGCATCCCTATTTTTTCAGCAATCAGCAATCTTTTTTTTAAAGCCCTTTATATAGATGCTTTCATTCCTTATCATCCCTTCATACAATTTAAAAGAATGTTTGTGTCTGGTTGTGTTCTATAAAGATCTATTTTAGACCTCTTTAAAAGTGTCAGCAATGTATCTGTCTGTGATGCTGAGTGAGCAACAGCTCAGACAACAGAAAACGCTCTGACATTATCTGTGGCTTTAGATCTGTGCCATTTCAATAACTAATATTTACTTAGGCTGATTGTTGATTAACATTCGTAATACTCCAGTAGGTGTCCATGATGAAGAATCACTTAAATGATCAGTGCTGTTTTTCACGGTCCTATTTTCTTTACAACAGGCTCTTGTATCTCTTGCCAACTGTGGCATCCCTGTTTTTTAATGTTGTTAACTCAACACCCAAGAGAAAGACATTGTTTTGTTCATTTTGTATGTGCTCTTTGCCAGCTACAGAACACATCATAACACTTAGAGCCTGGCAGTGGTGGAAGGAGGATTCATATCCTTTACTAAAATAAAAGTAAAGCACAACACTATACTAAGAGTACCATTTCTGTATTTAAATCCTTAACTAAGTCAAATTATCTAAATAGTATCAGCTAATCGAAGTATCCAAGGTATAAGCAGTAGTAAGTTGTGTAGGTATATTTAAAAAAATTACCCTGTCAGTATCTTACCATTTTATGTGATGTTTTTGGATTAATATCACAGCTTTTGTATATAGTTTAAACTATAGAAATGCTCCATATTCAATGAAATATTTGTAGCTTTTTCACTTTCCTTCAAATACCCCTATGTACCAATTGAGGGTTTGTGTCAGAAAATCAGCCCTGCATTTTCATAACTCTTCTTAAAGGCATTTCAAATTGTTTAGATTAAAAGTAGGATATTTCTCTCATCCCATAAAGGAGCACTTCCTCTTTCAGTTTATCACAAACATTCAAACTCAACAAATCTGGAGATAAGCTCCATGGTTTTCACTGGACAGGAAGGGGACTTCAAATATCAAATTAAGCTGTTACTAGAAGAAACATAGTTAAATCTACAATATTCACCTCTGAGATGTTGTGGAGAAGAAGTAAAAGGATTAATACCTAGTTATAAAGTTAAGGACAAAAATCGTTACTGTACTTACTACTTGAGAGTACAATACTTGAGTAAAGGTACTTGGCTATATTCCACCACTGTTCAGAAGTCACTCTTCACTTGGAGAGGCTGCTTCAGTCTCCAGAGAATCCCAGGGCCTTGATATAATAATTGCTGCCTGTCTGCTATCTGGTTTATTAACCAAAATACCCAAACAGGCACAGGCATGTTCCAGCAGTAGGGGCCTCGGTTGGCACCAGCTGAGTGTGGCGCTGGCCACCCACAAGCAGATGTTGCTTCTCCTCACCGCCACACCCTGGATCATATGAGGTGGCACCACTAACTCAACATGAGGTCATGTCCAGCATCAGCCAGACGCAGAGGCAGGGTCTCCTGTTCCAGGTTAGGGTATATGTGGAGGAGGTTTAGCAGTGGAGGCGACCGGGCAGACTCTGTCTCATGGCAGCCTGGATATTTGCCAGGCTTGATGACTGGCTCCTGTTTAATGTCAAAGTCACTTCTAAAGCTGCACCTGGAATGCGCAGTATTTGACCTTAAGGCCCAGCCAGACACTCTGGCTCATTGGAGTTTGATTGACATATCGGTACTCAGTCTGTATTACTGAAGGGGTGATATGGCTGCTGACCACAGTGCTCAGTGGGTTAACAGAGGGATAGGCCTTTCAGGGCTCTGTTTCAGTTAGGTCTTATTCTTATCAGGTTTGTATAAGCAATCAAAACAATCTAAACATTATCCTATAAGAAAAACTGAACTGATATGACATTGCCTGTTAAAGAAAACCCATATAAATCTATGTAAACTCCCTTCAGTTTTATTTGTTGGTATAATATGAAAAGAAAACACAGCACAGTTTTTAAACAATGTATTTTGTATGCATATGTAGCTACCTGCTTCTTGACATTACACCTTTCCTCTAACAGACACAAACGTAAACTAATATAAAAATACAATATTTTTGAGTAAACTAAAACCAGCAAAAACACTCTAAAGACTAAATTAAGACTGTTTTCTCTTCTTCTTCAGTTAGGTCTTGTTCTGATCAGGACGTTTATAGTCAACTCAAATTAAATAAGGTAGAGACATATTGCCTGGTTAAAAAAACTGATTAAAATGTATGTAAACTCCTTTAAGTTGAAATGTTTTGGTATATTATCTCACCACTAACAAATGAGACAGCATATTTGTTGTCACTGTAACTTCAACTAAACGTATAATTAAAATAAAAAAAGATTATTAACTTATTATTAACTTCTACTAATTAAGCATATTGACAGTATTCACAGTTCCTTCTTTAGAACATGTTCTCGTGGTTTCCCACTGCTAATTAGGCAGTTGTCAACTAAATGCCTCTAAAGAGCAAGCTTAGTGTAAATTACACAGTAGATAATCCAACAAGACTGCACTATTTTCTTCTTTATCCCCCTCCTGTCAAATCATCATTCCTCGTCCAGCAGCGGCCACTCCCAGTCACCTAATAGCCACTGAGTGAGACTGACACCTGTGTGTATTAATCACAGTAATGGTCCTCTTGATTAATATTAACAAGTTCTGTGTTAAGTCCGAAAACACACTTGGTGACAGTTACGGTCAAATACAGGCTCATCGATATACATGGCTAGCTGGAATTCCACGCATAGCTCCGGTCAGGAAGAGCATTTCAGCCCCCTGCACCCGACAGAGTGACTCCATCTGTCGGGCATATGCTGACGCGGGGGGCTGCTGCCACACTGTCTCAGCGCTGAGTTACACACACCATCCACCGCCACCTGACATATTCTAAAGGAGGCAACTCTGTAAGCCCGCCAGCTCATTGTGCTTTCATATTTAACCTCTGCTGCACACTTAGCCTGTTACCTTTAAGCATTTAGCGGAGATGAGGGGAGGGGCGCTCACGGCTATAACAGGCCCTTCACACTGGGGGAGCTGTTTGTTTTCATGAGTACATATCAACACAAATGCGGTGTTGTCTGGAAAGAATGAGATTCATGTTACCATGACCTACTCATGATCGCTATTTTGAATATGAAAGCGGCTCTGAGTAGACACCTGTTAGGAAACATGCACAGGAAATTCTGCAGAAACGTTGTCATCGGTGTTCCACTGACTCACCGAGGCCTGCGCTCTTGTCCATTGACAGCTTCGATATGTCACCGCTTTAAGAGAGGTCCATCCTTTATGTGTGTCTTTATCTGATAACAGTTTTGGCATATCTCTTTATTCTATGTCCTCCTTTTATGTCATAAACTTCCTAAAAAATGTCTCACAGCTATGGGATGTTAAAGGACATCATAGTAGGATTCGTTTCAAACTGTTTTATATAAAGAAAAAGTTCATTATGTGACACTAATCAGGCATCTTGTAAATAACCAGATTAAGATTCCTTTACTCCAGAGCCTTCCATGCTTGTTTCCTGTTTACTTTCCACTGATGCTGTGTGTGTTTAAGCCCAATTACCCAGGGGGATGCAAGAGGACACTATCCTCTCCCCCTGATATCAGTTGAAGAGGGGGGATACAAGAGGAGGAAGAGCTGCAGATTATTCAATGACACTGGCGTGTTCCCCCGAGCCGACATGGAACATTTGGCTTTATAAATAGATGAGACTATAGACCTGGCAGCCTGATGTTCTGCTCTTGTAAAGATCGGCATTTATTCTGAAAGGTTATAAATGATCATCCTGCCCTGGCAACTAAGTGCAGAGGCATGTTGTGGCTGTGGAGAATGCTCCTTGTCTGGACATCGGTGCGTGGAAGTGGAGCCTTGGCCGCGCCGTGGGGAAGTGGATGTGGTATTAACAGCAGGGCCAGGCTGGCTGGGATGGGGATTGTGCAATCGTATTTGCAAACAACACTTGCGCTCTTATTCATAGTGCCCGTGTCACGTCTGTTATTTTTACCTGCTGTGACGTCTGAAAAGAGGAAAGCAACAGAAACAGTGGGCTAAAATTAGTTTGCACTAAACCATTCAAAATGCTAGTGGGTGCTAACACGCTGAGAGACCACGCCAGTGTTTTGAGGATAATATCTGCTTGGAAACACGCACTACTTTTACTTTTGTGTCCATTCAAACATTATTCACTCACTTCGTGCTTGCAGCTTATTTCCTTTTGTATAATGTGTTTGTGCTCTTTGTCTTTATAACATTGTTATGATCTGTTTCTACAATGTGTGTGTGTGTGTGTGTGTGTGTGTGTGTGTGTGTGTGTGTGTGTGTGTGTGTGTGTGTGTGTGTGTGTGTGTGTGTGTGTGTGTGTGTGTGTGTGTGTGTGTGTGTGTGTGTGTGTGTGTGTGTGTGTGTGTGTGTGTGTGTGTGTGTGTGTGTGTGTGTGTGTGTGTGTGTGTGTGTGTGTGGTGTGTGTGTGTGTTGTGTGTGTGTGTGTGTGTGTGTGTGTGTGTGTGTGTGTGTGTGTGTGTGTGTAATTCGGCCTGCTTACACCACCAGCTGGTTAATTGTCCCCCGGTCTGGTCCACTGGTAATGTGTGACTCAATACCAGACAAAAGAGACGGCTTCACTGCGAGACAGCAGCCCATTGGCTGAGCCTGTGACAGCCCCCTCCCCGCATGGGCGCCCCCTGACCGATTGCACGCCCACTCCCCCCCCCCCCCTTTCACTCTCCTCACTGCCGCTTGTTTTCTCCAACTTGCATGCAGGCCAAAACACACGCTTTACTCCTCCATGCCAAGCCAGTCCAGAGAAGCTAAGAACCCCGGCTGCTCGAGACATAAACCCAGAGCAGAGAGTGAGCGGCGCAGAGGAAAAGAAGAGAGAATCTGACCATAGCTAATGCGCCTGCCTCTGTTCTAGCTGGAGGAGACCTTCCTGTGGATCTATCAATGACTTCTTTGTTTGGTTTGTTGCAGAGTGCCCCCTCTTTCAGCCCCCTGGAAACAGCCTCCGACCTGCAGCACTAGTAAGTCCATGCCTCCTTTTTAATCCAATACTTTGAATCTGGCTTCCTACTTCCTGCATGCTGATGATCATTTAGGGAATGTTATGGGGATAAATGTCAGCAAGAGATTTCTCCACCCTGGAGAGCTCGCCCACCCTCAGCGGGGGGACTCCTGCTTCCTGAGGAGATCCTGTTAATAAGGCAGAAAGCTCTCAGAACAGTGTGTCCTCTGTCTCTATTTCATGGTGTTTTTAAGGGGGCAGGGTAGTTGTAGGTTGGAGGCATGCATGCTATGTGGAGAGGTATTTAAAGACAGCAACCTGGATGTCACTGGGATAGAGGGAACTCGCTCAGCTGCTGTATAACTTAAAAACCGTTATCTTCTTCTGTGTGTGTGTGTGCGTGTGTGTGTGTGTGTGTGTGTGTGTGTGTGTGTGTGTGTGTGTGTGTGTGTGTGTGTGTGTGTGTGTGTGTGTGTGTGTGTGTGTGGTGTGTGTGTGTGTGTGTGTGTGTGTGTGTGTGTGTGTGTGTGTGAACGGTGAGCGGCAACTGGATTATGAAAGAGGATGCTGGCTGCTTCTAAAACAAAGCTTAGCAAGCCCTTGATCTTTCTTGTTTTTGTCCGATGAGATTGACATCTTCTATTTTTGAATGCGTAATAAAATGTAAGGAATTTAGGACTGAGCGTCTCCGCTACAGCTCAGGGAACATAAACTTCCTGCCTCCATTTCTGCTCAGGACTTTCCATCTGCTACAATCATTATGTCATCGCGGCCGAGTGTTTGAGAAAAGAATCCCACTTTTTTAAATCCATTGATTTGTTGGTAATTTGGGAAGGAAGAGGCTCCTGGTGGAAGTTCACTCAACCAAACTTCTCAAAGGAAACCTCAAGTCATAAACTAACTTCCTTCAAAGGCACATATATGTTTATGGCAGGATGCGTTTTTTTCTTCTCTGGGGTTTGTTTGAAATCAGAGAACATTCTTGTTTATATATAATCAAAATTGTAAAATGCAAAACCATATGTGTCAGTGTAGTGACAGTAGATGAATGAATTAAGTAAAAATGTGTGTTTTCAGGCGTTGCTTAGTGATCGCAAATTGTTTGTATGGCCTCACAATAAAAGCTGTGGTGATATGCTCAGCCATTGGCATTTAAATGAGCTCCTCATCATTCCAGATAAACATTACAGTTCATTATAGCATTCAGGCGGCATACTGTCGATTTAACCTGAACCTTCCCAAGAGATTGTCCTTACACCTCGCATGGCTCCTGTCCTGCTGACTTCCTGTCTAGCATTTATGTGAATTCTTAAAAGTGACCTAGAACCAACAGGATTTTAACGGCTCTCCGCAGTCAGCCGTGCGCTCACACAGCTATTAAAGAGCTTTTTGTGTCGAGGTCGTGAACAAGGCGAGTAATGTATCCATACATTTGTGCAGACTTGGAAAAACTGCAGATGTAAAAAACATTTGGAAAATACATTTCCTGACGCAAGTGAAAATGTGTTGTTTTTTTAGATGATACCTGAGTCGGTCAGTTTAACGGCCGTGTTTGTCTGCACGAACAAAAGGAGCAGCGTGAGCAACATGTGAGCGGCATGTGAAAGAGAGTAAACCTGACAGTTGTACAGGTGCATGGCAGGAGCTGATGCACCATGTGGGAATGTTCAGAGAATATTTTTAGAAATGTGTCCCTTTGGCCTCCCTGGAATGCCAAGATATGTGTGGTAGCTAATGCCTTCTCTCAACAGCCTCCCAATTCTGCACTTTTCTTGCTCAAGTTTTTCTGTTTCTGATTATTCTGTCTCCCACAAGTCTGCTAAGCCCGGAATTACCTCAAGATATGCTAAACAAGAACCATATGAGAGCTCGTTACCCAATTTGTGTGCCTCTGGTTATCATAAAACACATGTAACTGAACTCCTTTGAATGAATTTGACTGTGTTTAACTAGCTGTCTGCGTTCCTCTCACCGCTGTCTAGCTCCTCAAGCAAGTCTGGACACAGTGAGGTGGAGAAGGACGGAGGATCATCCTCGAGTGAGCCCGGCGCTCCAGAATGCGAACGCCATGTTTACAAGAGTGTCCTGGAGGGCGGCGACATCCCCTTACAAGGTCTACGGGCCCTAAACAAGCGCCAAGCCAGCTCCTCCTCCTCTAAAGGTAAGACAAGAGCCACTTCGTACATGTGCCAGTGAACAGGTGTGTGTATGTTTATGGATGTGGAAGCTAGACCGGACAGCGGGCCATTAAAGGTCTTTCCTGCTGAGTCAGAACCAATTAGCAGCGGACACGTCGAGCCGCTCAGACAGGGATACATGTGTTTCCGTTTACCTTTCCATTGGAATCCACACATTTTTCTTTTGCTCCCAGACCTCACAGCATCGAAGCATTCATTCGCCCCTGCAGCTTCTTTTGATTTATTATTGGTTTCCATCAAACAAGTACCGACCATCTGCTTTGGAAAACTCACTGAGGGAGTGAGGTTGTCCTGCTAAGTCGATGGAAGCTAACCTTGGAGAGTTTCCCCCACCACCCCCCTCCCACCCTCACCTCTTGCTCCAGTTGTGACCCGCCAGTCGCTAGGCAGGCTTAGGGCAAGACTCCAGAGCGTTCCAGCGCCAGGGAGCGGAGGGCCAGAGAGGGGATGGATGAGGAGGGTCGGGTGAGATAAACAGACAGGGGTGAGATAAACAGGAGGGACAAAGAGGGTGGGAAGGCATGAGGAAGTCAGCTGTCAGAGTGAGGTCAGGGGCTGGAATGCCTGCGCACATGGCCGGGGAGAGAAACGCTGGGGGAGGAGAGGTGTAAGGTAGATAAAGGAAGGGACAGTGTGACTCATTACATTACGTCTAGGAAGACACGCAGCAGATGTCACTTTAAAAACGGTCCACTCTGAGAAAAAGTTTTGCAAATTTCCACAAAAAAAGATGTATAAAGACAGTTGCTTTAAACCAGTTAAAGTAGGAATATTCAGTGCACTGGGCACAGTCAACTGACTAGCACGCTCCTTTATTAGCATTCTGCCCAAAGTGCTAGAAACCGAACTCTTCATCATGTGTTTCTGTCTTGTGCTCCTGAATTAAGAAAATATCTGTTTTATTCTTTGTCCTTTGAAGAACTGAGCTTCCTCAAGGGCTTATCAGACTCCCTACTTGCAGTGCCGTAGTATATCTAGTTTACTTCCTCAGTGTGTGTTTTTTCCGGTAGATATGACAGATGGGTCAGAAGTGTCTCACAGCATGTGAAAGTGTTGTGTCACTTCCAGGTTCCATCTGTGGTGCTGTCACGAGTGTACAATCGGGAGGAACTGATCATAGACTGCATATAGGAACTGAGGGTAGTATTTTGGTTTGACAGTCATATTTTACTGGGCAGGTTGACTCAGGATACATTTTTAATTTACGACCGTGTAGGGGAGCAGTGTATTAACAGGGGCGCTACAGGGCATTTATCACTGCAGCCGCCTGTCTTATTTCTAAAAGTAGAAAAAGAATATATGTAGGATGTTAAAGAGGGACAGTCAGGTGTCATGTTGTGGAAAAAATATGAATAAGACGCAGAAAAGATTGAAATGATTGTATTTATTTTCTTGTTAAGTGTACTGATACCGCAGTCCGTGTTCCTATACGACCTCCAACATCACATAACATTTCATGGCATATTGCTGTTTTAATACTTTATGTTCCACTGTTATATTTCTGTTAACAGTGATATTGATATTGCAAGAATGTGTTAGACACTACATTTCCCCATGTTTCATTTTTACAAAGCATAATTCTTCACTGCAGCACCACGCTGTCTAACATCTATAACTTGATGCACAAAGCATCAAGTGTGCTTTCTCTTCTCATCTACTTTTAATTTAACTCAGACTTTACTTTACAAATGTGGCTGACTATGTTCTAGTGTGTGTGATCCTGTGACCATTGTAATCTAATATGTTGTTTATTCTGTTGTCCTGCATGCTTGCCAGTGGATTATAAAGGTGGGAATGGCTATATAATTTCACCCTGCTCCTCTGTAAATAGTCGATCGGTTCTTGCCAGTAATGCAATAGGTAGCCAGTGTAAGAGTATGAAGCCTCTTTCTGCTGCCAAAGCCTGCATACCCCAAATCCTGCCCTCTAAATTCAAGCCCAAGCTGCTGCCGCCCAGTGGTGACAGTCAGGAGAGCAGGACTAAAGCTGTCCGGCACCCAAAGGCCCACAGCTGTGAGGAGCTGTACACGGGGCCCTGTGACACAGACTGTTCCGGAGCAGAGGAAAGGGAGAGCGAGCATTATGCAGACTCCAGCTCAGAGTGCGGGGACCGCTTCAGGAATGTTTCCCCCACAATCAGGAGGGGCGCTTCAGAGTTCTCCAGCCTGTACAAGAGCATGCACCACATCCAGCGGCCCAGCTCGGCCGGCTGCAGCCCCAACGGCAGCGTCCGCAACCTGGCCTCTCTTTTCGAGAAGTCAAAAGCCGAGGGGGGTGAAAGGTCTGAGGCGGATGACGGGGGTGACATTCCACGGGAGGCAGTGTCGTCACGGGTCAGCGAGTTTGAAATGATCATCCAGCGGTCCAGCTCCGCGCCCAGCCGCTCCTCCTCCATGCCCACCCTGAACTCCGGCCACAGCCCCGACCACAGCACCGCCCAGCTCTTCATGGCCTCTGCAGTGTCAGCGGAGTCCCTTTTGGTAACTAACGCCACCCAGATGGACCGCTGCACCCCAGTGGAGGCAGAGGGCAAGAGATGTGAGGAGGAGACCGTGTCACCGGGCGATGTGAGCGCCTCCTCACAGGAAGGACATGTCAGGAGTGATTCACCCTGTAACACTGAGGAGGAGGTCGAGCAGATCCTCAGTAAAGCCCCAGAACTGATCCACCAACATGTATCAAAGAGTCCCTCCATGCAGCTTCCAGCATCTCCGCAACACAACCATCTCCACCACCACCATTTGCTACACCACCTCAACAATCAACTCCTCAAACCCAGCAAATGCAAAGGCTCTTGCCCCGCCTCCTACACCCGCTTCACCACCATCCTCAGGCACGAGAGGCAGCAGGCCACCAGCCAACAGGAGAGGCCGCCCCCTGTGGAGAAGAAGACCACGCTGCCCGGGAACCTCCTGCTCATGGGCCCCGCTCCTTTCAGGTTACGGAAGAACCTGCAATCCCACCAAAGTCGTAGGACCCTGTTAGCCACCAAGGTGACAACGAGCACCCAGAGGCCCAGCGCTTTTTCCCCCGAGCCCAGGCCCCTAATCCCCCAGCGCCTCTCCTCCCTGGAGGTCCTGGAGAGGCTGGGGAACGGGGAGGGGAGCCCCACGGACCATCTGAGTAACGGGCAGGGCTTGGACGCCAACGGGAACCTCCTGCAGCCGCCGGCCGCTCACCGCAGAGGTTGCTATCTCCATCCCTTCACCACTCTTTCCCCCCCCTTTTTGTGATCTCTCATTCATCTCGACTCTCTCTTCACCTTGTGTCCCTTTTTTCTCCACAAAGTGACGCCGCCTGCCCCCCCCCCCCCCCCTCCATCTGTAGTCTGTGTGCTGTGTTTACAAAGTGACAAGAAAGCCTCTCCATCTCATTGTGTCAGTGTGCTGTTTGGTGCTCTCCCATCTTTCACTTGAATGAGTACGGTCCCCACAAACGCATCAAAACCCCTCAGTGACTGTAGGAGGTTCAGGCAGCTTTTGGTAATGTATATATCTCCTGGTGACATCAGATTTGAGTTGTATGCAAGAGTGCTAGTGCCTGCGTAAGCATTACATCGACACAGAGCAATTGTGTTTTATTGCAAATCTGTTTTATTGCATCATTACGGTGTGAGATAAAAGTAGATGGGAAGTGTTTTTTGCCTTCTTTAACATCTACAATGAGTCATTTGTTCATTACATCAAATTGTAAAAGCTTTGCCTTAAACTCCGAGCATTCCTCTGTAATGTTTAAGCGTGATATTTCTATATAACATTGCATACGCTCTCTCAAATTGATGTCTCACCATGTATGTATCTGTTTTTATTTTTCTGTTTTGGGAACAACTTACATCTGCCATCTTTCATTCTTTCACCATGAAAGGTTTCTTTTTAGCCTGACAGGATGTTCCCTGATTGGATATCTTTTCGCATCAGACACAAACCTGAGCCATTGATAGTTACTATTTAGGGAACAGGATGAAACATCTTTGGTTGTGTGGGGGACAAATTAAGTCATGGAGATATCTAGCTAAACTTCAGTAAACTAACTGATGGTTGGTTGATCAGTAATGTCATGTTTTTCCTTTGGCCTAGACACAGTAGGTCTCATATTTTCCTTTCCTGCATTTTATTTTTCCATGAACACACATCGGATCATTCTGTGTTCATTACTACGTGCATGCAGGAATACATTTGGCTTGTTGGATGTGTGTGTGTGTGCTTTTCTTTTGAGATTATGGTGTTCATTCAAGGCATGCATAGTTGTATTGTTTTTTTCATCTGAGTTAAGGAGTTGACTGCAATATCATCATCTTCTATTTGAAAACATTTGTTTTTGTTGATGTTTTTGCCTATAGAGTAAAAATCTTCACAGCGTAATCTTCTTTCTGTCTCTGTTTCAGACTCTTCCCCAGTTCTCGGGGAGAGCCAGGATGAAGTAATGCGGAGGCGTCATGGGGACAAAGAGGTAAACTTTTTGAAACTCAAGCCAAACTTTCCTAAATAACACCCCACTGACAATGCTTTATTCAAAAGAGCTGTGTTATGAATGAGGAAATAATTTATTATACATAACAAAGAGTGTGTCTAATGAATAAAAGAGCAGAGGAGACCCATATCTGCAGGGAACAAACACTTCCGTCTGGTTTCCTGACAGAAAATCTTGGAGGAGCAGCGGCGGCTGAAGCGGGAACAGGAAGAGGCCGACACGGCGTCAAGGCGACACACAGGCAATGTCCCCACGCACCACCAGTTCATCACCAACGAGCGCTTCGGAGACCTGCTCAACATCACAGATAACACGGAGAAGAGGAAATCAGGCGTAGAGGTACAATACAGGGCCATCTCTTATCCTTGTGTAAGCAGGAAAAAAGCAGCAGATGCTTGGTCAGTTTGCGTGTGAGTCAGGGTGTGGGGGGTTGACAGAGGGGTTCCTACAGACACAGATGGCTTTCTCTTCTGGGTCAAAAACTCACAGGGAGGAGAGCAGTGATGGAAATCAAAATATGAGTTGGTGAACTTATCACTAAATATCCAGACTACACACTGTTTACCAGATACATATCTTAGCTGTTTCTTTTTTTTTTAAAACCTTGATTTAGTCCTCACCATTGAGATTGTGTTTTACATTGTCCCCAATATTTTCAAAAAAATCAAATACAGCTTCAACATGAGACAGTAAAGTCCATTTCATGAACACTTCAATATCCCCGTCTTCAAATATAGAAAACTAGACAATAAATAAATGAGTGTATAGCAAGACATCCACACAGAAATGTGTGTATTTTGTTTTTAGTACATAGATGATTTGCCTCAGCATAGTCAGAATGTAGGGACAGTTTTGGTCATACAGTATATGACCAAAAAGCTTTATTAAAGTTACAAACTGCAGCTTGAATGTACCGTTTGGGAGATAAAAAGACAAATGTCTGCAAATGTCTGCCTTTTGCACACAAAAAGTACTCTCTACTCTATTTTTCTATTTCCATGTCACTGGTATCAGTTGCAACCTTGTTGTGTTTACTGAGGTGTGCCTGCTCCCTTGGCAGACCGGTCTCACAGTAAACAACCCCCGGTAGTTTCTTACTGGACATGCTCCAGAGGACAAGTAACCCAGTCAGTCACAAGCACCTCATTCCTGTGCCCCGTGAGAATAGTAATGTTCTCACGGGGCACAGGAAGGACAACTCAGGCAGATTTACAGCTCACAACACATTCCTTGAAAATATTTTCCCAATACACAAACATCATAGTATAGTTACCAAAAAGGGACAAAGGTGTAATGGAATAATAGGGTTCAGTCTTTAAACTGACTTTACGATTTTAACAATAGAATCTACAGGTATGATGTTGTACATTTTAAGTGAGTGAATCATTTTTATTATATATCTTTTCAGAGAACTCCAGCTATGGCTCGCTTCGACTTCAGAGCAGAAACTCTAAAGTGAGTCATCTTTTAAGAGTCTCACCAAAAATGTTTTTGTTGCAGAGATGTTGAGTGTCATTGCATGACGGCTAAAGGTATTTAAGATGCTGCTATTATATGAGCATATTTAGTAGATTTTACAATTGTGCAGACCTTGCTGAAATAATGATTGTCTTGTATTAAAAGTGTATCTTCTAGGCGGGGTTACATCTGACAAAACTATGCCAGATCATACAATCGCAGGAAATCACTGTTCAGAATAGTAGAATCATAATCACCAAACTCAGAAGAACTCAGAGTGCAATGCACACAAACTTGCTTGCGTGATGTCTCTGTTGAATAGCAATTGGTTTATATGTGGGCCATCAAAGATGTTCTATATAACACATGTGTTTGAGGTATATATGTATTAGATTTGCCTTAGTATCTAAGTAGCATCAAAGTGCAAATACGACGCCGGGACTGCTTCATTTTTACGTAAAACTGTATGGTCCTTTTTTCATTACAACTAATCTCTTTGGAACATTTCTAGGGAGTTACCGTTTCAGAAGGGAGACATCATCTTCATTATTCGACAGGTGGATCAAAACTGGTATGAAGGGGAACACCACGGAAGAGTTGGCATTTTCCCTCAGAGTTACGTAGAGGTATGTAAGAAGAGCAACTACATTTTTTAAATAGTGTTTCTCTCAGTTCATCATTAACATTTATTTCACCATACATATCATTTGTATTACCCGATTGCAGTGTTGGAGATGTCTTGCATAATCACTCTACTGCACAATGTGTTCTCTTCTGATTTTCTTACTCAGTAATCACTTGCGTTATTTCTTGCTTTCTTCAGCTCCTTCCCCCCACAGAGAAGGCCCAGCCAAAGAAAAGTGCCCAAGTGCAGGTACTGGAATACGGAGAGGCTCTCGCACGCTTCAACTTCAACGGGGACACGGTGGTGGAAATGTCTTTCAGAAAGGTATGGAGGGGGGAAGAAGAGCAATCAGAAACACATTTAAGGAACTCTTAATTTTTGTATACATCTAGTTGCTTTTATCCTTTGTTACTCATGTTTCTCAACCAACAAATATGCGTCTGCAGGGGGAGAGGATCACGCTGATTCGCAGAGTTGATGAAAACTGGTATGAAGGGAAAATCGCCGGCACCAATCGCCAAGGCATCTTCCCCGTCACATACGTAGAAGTGAACAAACGACCCCGCATCAAAAATGGCGTGGACTACCTGGACCCTCCTGTCAGCCAGTCGCCACAGCGCAGCCTGAATGCTTCCCCTCAAGTAAGGAACCCTACGGGTACATTAAGAGTGGGAATCAAATCTGTGAATCTGTGAATTCTCTTCTATGTTCACCATGACCCCCCCCTTTTAATTTAAATATTTGTTCACCTTCCGTTTCCTTTTCTTCCTCTCATCCCCTCTTCGTTTCCATCTCCTCCAACGTTGCTCTTATAAGCTGTACCGTAATCGTCTGACCACCTCCCCCCTGCCCCTCCCTCGCTCCCCCCGCCGCTCCGTGTCCCCCGAGGTCCACGCTATCTCCTCTGAGTGGATCTCCCTGACTGTGGGAGGCGGGAGCCCCCCCGCCGCACCCACCCCTCCCCTGCCGCCGCTGCCCACCGTGTCATATCGCTGCGGCGAGTACCTGCCCCCGCCCTACTCCGCCAGCCCTGTGCCCCTCATCAGCGGCAGCCCATACGGTATCTCACCCATGGCCTCCCCATCCGCCTCCCCTCTCCCCCCGCCTTACCCGCCCAGACCCAACTCCACCACTCCCTTCCTCACGTTCACCCCGCCTCAGGGGGAGGACTTTCTTCGATTCCGTCCCAGCATGAGCCCCTGCGGAGGGCCGGTGCTGGAGGGCTGGTTGAGGGGGGAGAAGGAGTTGACAGAGGGGGAAGGCACAGAGGGGGACAGGGGCCACGCAGCCCCGGGCAGCAGGCGAAATAGCCCTGCAGAGGTATCTTCCGCATGGTGTGCAGTGTTGCATCATGGGCTTTGGCCACAGTGTAATTCTCTAATAAGATGTTTGATGAAGTACTGAAGCTGATATCTGTGTGTGGAAATTGGACTAACTCTTAGATGTAACCAGAAGTTGATTTTAGGATGAATATGGAGACAGAATAAGCACACGGCTTAAAGCTGCAAGTCTGCATGTTGTTGTTATGGAGTGTTCGCTACTAACATGCAAGTGTTTTACAGTTTCTTTCAGTGTTTATATTCTGTACGTTTTAGGTTTCTTAGCTATAAGAGGAATAGGAGCCCTTTTTCTGGCATTAAAAGGATTTATTTGAGAGCTCAAGTGTCTTCCTCTTCATAAAATCCAGTCTTTGGTTGCATGTTGTTGTTGTGCCTTGAAGAGGTGTGATGCCATTGGAGTTTGGAAGTTTATTTAGGACAGTGACATATTTATTAGTTAGTATTTATAGGTTTCACATGTTAGCTTGTGTTTCAAAAGCTGCTGCGAGGTTGAAATGTTCACCTACAGGGTAATGCAACCTGTCTGTAACCTCAAGTATGATGAAGTTTCAACCCAGTCTCACGGCATTTCGTGTTATAGTCACGAAATTAATCTAATCTATTGATTCGTGTTCAACAACACGATTTCCCCCTTTTTTTTCGTGTTACACGGAACGATTTTAAAAGCAATGTATTTCTATTGGTAATATGTTTCGTGCCTACACCACGTCTTTTTGTCCAGTCGGGTCTTGGAAGACCAGAAGCTGTGTGGTTCGTTAAAAAAAATGTCTTACTCAATATCTTTCCCTAAGCCTAACCCTTTTATTTTAAATTGTATAATGTCGGAGTTTTTTTGCCGTCCGTGAGGAAAATAAATGGCTCAGAGCCTCAGAATACTGACATCTAGATTTTTTTAAATCTGTTTTTCCTTCTTATTGTTATTATTTACATTTCTTTTAATATCGTTCTGTATGACACGAAAAAAATGGAGAAATCGTGTTGGTGAACACGAATCAATAGATTAATTTCATGACTATAACACGAAATGCTGTGAGACTGTGTTGGAAGTTTACAGCAGGTGGATACATGGTGCGGAGCTTTAGAGAAAACCTTTTATTTTGTAATGTCCTTGCTGATTTGACTTATTTTGTGTTGCAGTTTGTGAGGAATGAGGCTGAACATCATGGACGCAGCTCCAGAAGCCCTGTGATGCTGTTTGACATCCAAGACAACAACAATGTCAACTCGTTAGCGGTAAGGCGGAGCAGAGTTTTCTTATTAAATATTAAGTAGTTTGTTAAATGACTTCATAATCTGTATAATAACCATTTAACCCATCACCTTTCATATAACTCATATCATCCTTAACTTTCATTATGTCGTCTTCATTTTGTATTTCAGTACAAAGCTGGAAGTAGTGGTTAGCTTAGCATAACTGAAAACAGGGAAACAGCTAACCTTGCTTTTGTCCATATTTTATAGAATTCAACTATCAGTGCCACTATAGTTTTGAAATGATCATAACATGTTCATTGGTTTTCTGTTTGTTTATCTTTTACAAAAAGCATTGGATTTGGAGGTTAACTGCTACACACCTAAACATGAAAGACCCTAGAAGGGTCTTATAAGTTGCTTAGTTTGCAACATTGGCACTCACCATACACACAACTCCCTGTTAAACTGCAAATCGTTACAGTACACCAGTTTTCAGTCTTTATGCTAAGCTCATCTAACTGGCTATTCATTTGAGCTTCATATTGAATCGACAGACAAAGTTTCCATGAGTATATTTACCCAAGCTATTTCCTGTAAGCTGTACCTATCATCTTCCTCCTAACACTGCATGTTCATAATGAATGGTATCCTGTAAAAAAGTGAACTAATATTTCATGTTTCCTGTCTACATGCTCTTTTCATGCCTCTCCTCCTGGGCTCCACCAACGTCTCCTCTCCTTTCTCTCCCGGCTTTTAACGGATCACTTCCTTTTCTGCCTTGCTACTTACTGGGCCTACCTTCCTGTCTCGCCCTTCGCCCCCATCCCTCCCCCCCTCTAACTCCTCACCTCCCCCACCTCGGGGGCCTCCTAACTGGACTCCTTTGGGGCCGCTGTCTGTCTTTCTCTGACGACTTCACCTACTAGGAGGCAGTGTGTAATGAGATCTTGAATATAGCTGAGACCTCGGTGAGGTATTGCAGCAACCTGTCCCACCACCCTCATGACTCTGTCAATCGACTGCACCCCCACCCCAGTAAACAATCTCTCATCATTTCCCAGCAACCCCTGTCCCACAGCAGCAGCCCGGAGCCCAACCGTCTGAGCTGTGGAATGTGAGTACATCTGTATTTCACTTACACAACATATTTATTTTTGTTATTTAATTTCAGTTTTTACATTTTATGATTTGTCATTTTTGCAACATGTTTCCTTGCATCCTGCTCCAGTTTCCAGGCCCTGTACAGTTACGTTCCTCAGAATGAAGACGAGCTGGAGCTGCATGAGGGAGATCTCGTCAGCGTCATGGAGAAGTGCGATGACGGTTGGTTTGTTGGTATGTGCCTGGGCCCTCGGGAAACATTCCTCAGAGACGCAGTTACACTCGCTGTGTCACATTAATCTGTATAGGGTTTCTGCTGAATGACAGCAAAGGACTGTACACGTGTGCATGCTCAGGGCAGAAGTAGAGTCGTTTTCACCATGTCACATCCTTCCATATAGGGTTTCTAGAGAATGACAGCACAGGATTAAGTGCAATGTACGTAAGGCTTTGCACTTAATTTGAGATATGCCTAAAGCAACCAAAGGAACTTTTATTTAGTTTTGATCTTGACTCCCCCTGTGTTCAAAATCAGAAGTGTTTTCTCTGGATGTGTCGTTAAGATCTTCACCTGGTGAAAGCTTTAAAGCTTTAGCTCTCTTTGTTGAAGTCACCAACTAAATGTATATATTGATGTAGAACCACATTTCGCAATTCATTTCATAAATCAAATAGACATATTACATACCAGTCTAGTGGAAAAAAGACATGGTTCTGAATCCTTCCAAATCCCAATTTTCTCTATCTGTTTTCTCTCATGGTCCCCCTTTTTTTTTATCTCTGCCGGAACTGTCCCAGTAACAGCCATAACCAAAATATATAATGTCAAGAATAAGAATCCCTAATGAAAAATCTCCTCCTGCTTCCTTTTAAAGGGGACTCATTTAACCTTTTGGGGTTTACCCTTTCCTGTGGTGTGTTAAATAGGTTTGTATGCATGTAAAGGGTCTGCAAAGGCTAAAATCCTACAGATTTATCTCCATAGAGGGTGAAAAAAAGGTGCTGCAACACAGGCCGTATTAGAAAAATAAAGAGCTTTTCACATTAAAGCATTGAGACATGTCACAATAGAAGCACAAAATACAATAATTAAAGCTGAACATTAGCATAATAGGGCCCCTTTCACTGGTAATGTATTGCTCTCTATAAACTGACCCAGTGACAGGCATTTAGAATATCTGAATAAAAGTAGCCAATCTTCTTGCTGATGATCTTGTTAACTTGTGTTGGTCATATAGACAGACATCAGTGTTCAATTGACACTGTATAATAACCAGTTTAAACGTTTTATTAAATCTGAGAAAAAGATCCCTTTACTATCTTTTGCCTGACCCATGTTTCTCTTTCTTTTTCTCTCCAGGTACCTCAAAGAGGACGAAACTGTTTGGGACTTTCCCCGGGAATTACGTGAAGGAGGTGAAACTGTAAAAATGTCGGCTGTAACACATGGTGGCCTGTGAAGCTTTGGAAGTCATTACTATCGCGCATGGCTGTTGGTTAGCAAAGTCATTTAGCCGGGCGAATCCATTTTGTCTGGGAAAGTGATCGGTTCGGCCTGAGGTATGTCAGACGGAGAGGGGCGGAGAGAGAGGCCGCTCACTGCCTAGACCTCAGCACGGTGTACACCTTGAGCACAATTTACACACTTCTTGACAGAAATCATCCGTCTCCACATGTGGAATTTCTCCGTGAAAATCTACCATAAAGTAGCTTTTATTGTACAGATAATAGCTTTCATGTTGTCCATCTAATATACAGTACGAGTGTTCACGTAGCACGTCAGTCCGGAGGCCGGCAGCAGAGCAGAGTATGGATTAAAGAGTGGATCTTATTTCATGAACGCAACTTGGGAGGATTCAGAATGTAATTTTATGGGACGTGTGTTTAGAGCTGTTTGTCATGAGCTACCTTTCAGGAACAGAGGTGTTTATTATGATTAGCTAAGTACAAACCATGCCTCTGCTTCCAGAAGAAAACCTACAGTGTTTGGATCAATATATGTATGAATTTTATATACATGTCCAACAGGAAATGTTACTTTAGATCTGAGAAAATTACTTAAAGTGGACCTATCATGCTATATTTGAAACATATATTGTAGGGCCATACCCATATAAAACATGTCTGTGAAAAATACCAAACAGATCCTGCATTTTAGCCATGCCTCATTTCGCTCTATTTGCTCTTTTCCAGCCCTGTTTTTGCAAGGGCTGATTCTGCTTTTGTGGCAGACTACAGCGCCACTTACAGGCCTGGCATATGTACTACAGTGTCTCCAGCGCTTTCGAGCGGTCTCTCATTCCCCTGATAGGTGGAGAGTTGCCCATATAGGCGGAGCACCCCTTTTCTGACATCAGAAAAATTCAAATCTGTATCAGCTCCGTTGCAGCCCTGTTTTTAGAGATTTGGGTATGGAGGAAAGGAGAGAGGGTTGTGTTTTCTGACACTTGGTGACACACCGGGGACACATATTCATGTATAAAAGACGTACAAAAGTGCATTTTGCATGATAGGTCCCCTTTAAAATGAGTGTCCTCTTGAAGTTTAAATAATCAGCCTTGTGTTTGATGACCTTTTACTTTCTGTTACATGTCATGAATCATCAAGAAGTCAGTATTTTTAGAACATCTCAATCATTACAACTCGGTGTAACCTTAAGCTATAGATACCAGTTCAGTATTGCCTTTATTTTCTATTTAAAGGTTGTTATATATTACGATTAATACTTTAAAAAGTGGGATTTTAGCTTCTCTTTTTCAAAGTAACCACAGCAAACACAAATACAGGACTGTGTTGCATGTCTGATAAAAGTGAAGAGAACCCGTCTATGTGCATATCCTATATTTTCAGAATCTATTTATTTGTCATTTAATAGAAGTGTTTGCTGATGGGTGAAGCCTGTAAGGTAGCTGGTGGTAAACGCTTTGCTCCAACGCAACTACAGACAGGCGTGGTAGCACTTAACTTCCTGTTTGGTCATTGAGGGAGATTCCACCGAACAACATAATAGTAGATTAATCACAAAAAGAACTAAATCATGTTTTAAGTAAAGCCAAAAAGGTGATTTTTTTTTAAGCATTTTGAAATTTTACCACGCCCTTACTGACTAGATTGTATGTTAGTTTTAGCTATGTAAATGTGTACAGAAAACTTTAAGAGGCCTTCCAAATATGGCTACATATTTTCATATGTTATGACTTGGATACAGTTAGTGGAATGATTTAAATAATAAGGTCAGCATGCACTGTATAAATCCATCAAATTGGAGCATGAAACACGATCAGCCATCGCCTGAATGTTAGCCACCGTTAGCTTTAAGCAAACAGCAGTGATGACAGGGTTGACTGTCTGCTCTCTGAGCTTCAATAACTCCCTGTTGGAAGATGGCTTTGAGTTCTGCTATCAGAGCATCAGAGCCGTCTTCCTGCGAGAACAGAGCTCCCACATCTCCTGCACCATCACGTCCCGTAACACACGCCACATGTCAGAATAGACCTTCTACACGCACAGATGGAAAAATGATAGCCATTGTTTTTCTCTGCTCCTTTTTTCATCAAATTCCTTGTTGTCGTCAACCGCTGCACTGTGCTCATCAATCTCAAATAGCACTTGAAAATCAGTTTTAGCACGTGTTACGACCTGCTCAGGCTTGCAGAGGGATGCAGTTTTTTGTATGGTGATTGCTAAGTGTTATTTTAAAGGGAAAGTTCACCCCAAAATCCTAAAATGCAGGTTTTTCCTCCTACCTGTAATGCTTTTTACTGTATCAATCGAGATGGTTTTGGGGCTAGAGTTGGAGACATTACCTGTAAAGATGTCTGCCTTCTCTCCAATATAATCGAGAGAGAGAGATGGCACGCTTGTGGTGCTAAAAGTGCCCAAAAACTCAAAAGCAAGGTATCTTTCCAAAAAGCTGGACCCGGTTACTCAAGATAATCCAAAGACCATGTAGTTTTATGTAGGAACTATTTTCTTTCTATATTATCACTACGCCTGCATCTATTAATGGACGATTCACGATTCATTCTCTCATCCAAGCTAGCTAACTTTATAGCTTAGCCAAAGAAGATGCCATTATGTTTACTTTTCAGGCTAGCTTCCTTCTGCGTGGCGACACGGTTATTGGGTGTAGTTTGGTAGAAAGAAAGTAGTTCCTTCATGAAACTGCTCCAAATAAGGACTGTGGATAATCTTGAGTAGCCAAAACAGGATTTCTGTAAAGAGATATTCCGTCGGATGTTTTCTATTTTATTTTTCTGGCACTTTGAGCACCACTAGAGTGCCGTCTAGTTCCGTTATTTAGGGAGAAGGCAGACATCTTTACGGTCGAAATCTGCAACACTCCGCATCTCACAAACTCTACATTTGAAATGACGAATAGCATTACAGTTAAGGGAGATAACATGTATTTTTTATTTTTGAGTGAACTGAAGTTGGATCATTTTCCCCAATCCACACATGTCTAATCAAACAGTGCCAGACTATCAGAAGGCCTTTCTTTTTAGTGTAATGTGAAGTTCTGAAAGATAAAACAGTAGCTCTCACTAAATCTAAAAGTGTATGTTTACTATATCTTTGTTTTGTTTATTATTATGTTTTGGCTACAGCTGTGCAGCAATGATAAACATTGACCTGATTGGAACATGGTTTGAAGCTGTTTGTGGCTACCATAAGTGATACATGAAGTTTAACAATTGACAAAGTGCAGTCATTTAACAAAATTTAGCAGCAATCAGTGTTTGCTGTTGAGACAAATTAAGGAGGTTCTTCCTGTCACCACTGACAATTTTGCCAACAATAGCAAAGGAATGTTTTCTCAAGACAATACGCTGCATTATGGGTTTGCCTGTATAGCACTGATATCATATTCAGGTATTTTGTTCCACCACAAAGCATGTATTTCCCTCCACTGCTGGCTAAACATTCTTGTTCCTGTGTAACTCCGGCCCAGCATGAATGTGTTAAAGAAACAAACTATCTGATGGATTGATATACATTTAGTCACAACACAACTCACTCTAGATTGTCTCGTGCTCCAGAAAACCTCACAGGATGTATGAATGTATGAATATATGAATGTGGCGCAATGCATACATATGTAAAAATGCAGACTATTAGGCAGCATGGCACACAAAGGATTGTAAATATGTAAAATAAAAAAAGGACTGCTGTCACTTGCAGCAGTTTATTTACCTGAAGGATTTTTTTGCTAAAGCACAGAGTGGAGCATTACCGAGCAAAGGAAGTTTGACGCATATGAACATTACGCTGCCATTTGTGACGATCATAATGCCTTATGTTAGATGCGAAATTGTGCCTCATTTTCATTCATTCCTGTGGGAGTATCACTGAAATGTATTCATGACATATTTAATGTAACCATGGTTTCCCCATTAGTCCTATAGTCTCTGTGATGGGAGAACATTTTGCTAAGAACTTGCAAGTACCTAAAAGTGTGACACAATGCTTTAAACGTAATGATTAATAATCATAAGAATGGACTAGTTTGAGACGCACAACCTGCAACAGGTTTGGTTTGTTTGCTTCATTTTGCAGTGCTGTTACATTGACAATATTAAAATAAACTATACACTGCTGTGACTTCGGTATTATGCAATATTTAATAAACCGTTTAAACCATTTGGTGTGTTGCCTGTTTTGATTTCCAGAAAGATCTGAATGATATCAAGGTAGAGGTACATTTAAAGTTATTTTATATAAATGCTTATGGTGTTAAGTCATGCAGCAGTATAAAAGTGTATGAGCATGTAAAGACACATTCTCTGTGGCTGTGTAATGAGCAGACGCACATTCATGTGAGCTTAAGGTGGAGCTGTAATGTTCTTTTGTTCAAGGGCGAAATAAGCTTGTAATAGATGTTAGGATTCCTTCTGCATTGTCAGTACATAAATACTTATGGCATTTTTATTTTTGTCAGATGGGTAACATCCCATTAGTGTGTTGATGTTGACAGCTGTGTTTGTACTGCCATAACAAAGATACTTTTCTTTTGACTTGATCTTATGCATTGTTAAGTGCTTCACTTTAAAGCCCTACAGTCTGCAGTGGCTGCCCTAAGGCCTGTTAAAGGTGCAAGTACAGCCCACAAGAGAGGACGTGTTTCATTCGGTCAGGGCTTTTTCTCTCCACTTTCAACAGAGATCCTCTGGCAGGAATTCAAGTTTTGGGAGCGGCACATTCCACATCCTGGGATTTAGCTCTACCATAAATGGTAAGCTTGCATATAAACACGGTGACGTACCGGCAGGCCGACATCCCTAAAACAAACACAGGAGCTCATCTGAGAGGAGAAAATCGTGAAGAGGGATCACTCTGCTCCGATATTAGTTTATTTTCATTGAGGTGAAAAGTATAACATAAAATGGCATATTTTCAAAGCACTTAAAGTAAGTATTCAAACCAAAGTGTGTGTACTCGCCCTGTGTTACTTTTAATTTGTGAAGAAACATGTTGTTTTTCTCGCATTGTTTCACGGAGAAGGAATAACAAATGAAATGAAAATACTTAAATAATACATTTAATTATATCGGGGACGCAATCAACAACACAAAAAAAAAAGGTAATCAACACATATGTTTACAAATACGTTGTTCAGTACAATTCAAGTCATTTGAACACTTCTTTTCAAATACATGCATTTAAGCTTTGAAAACACAGCTCCCAAATGGCCGTTTTGGCTGTGAATATTTATTTAAGCTCCATTAAGATATTATTTAAGAGATGGTCATATAAGAACTTAAAACATTTATTTACGTTCTTAACCATGTATCAAATGATTGCTGAATTATTGTGCAATTTGCTGGTTTGGGGTCAGTTTAAGAAAAAAAAAATCTAATTCCAAATGAGGCTATTCAACTGCAGCCCCCAATCAGCATTCAAATACAAACTATTGTGGGTGAAAACATTTGTTCAAAACAAAGTTTCAAAATAATGTGTGCGCCTGTTAAGTACCAGATGTCTGGTGTTGATGTGCCAGTGTTTTCTCGACACACATTGATTTTTGAATCAAGTGATAACACACAGGAGTCCTTACAAAAATAATGGGGAAGAGGGGGGGGGGGGAAATAACATTTTCTCTCCTGTTTTTTATTTTATCAGGACAGAACAAAAACAAAGGTCTGAGGCATTTTTGATTGTGAAGAACATTTTATTCTTAATTTTAGGGATAAGTCAGACTTTAACCTATTTTCTTGTTGTAAATAGATGCCAAGAATAGACCAAAACCAACAATGCAGTTTGTCTCACTTTCTGGCTTTGCTCTCCACTCTTCGATGTTTAACTTCAAAATGTATTGTTACGTTTTTATTTATTTTTAAACTACCAACATACCTTAATTCAGCTGGGCACTGCAGTTTTTTAACTAATGTTACTCAAACAGGAGTGTGTTTTTGGTTTATTGGACACTATTTTAGATGCAGTCCTGAAGATTAACACTCAATGAAATATGTACAGCAGCAGTCATTTGTATGTGGGACTGACTCCAAAAAACAAACAGTGCCCAAGTGTATTGTCTTAAGGGAACATTAACACCCAGTGCAACTTTAAGACAAATGGATGGTTATATAAAGGTTGCTGCTGTTCTTGGGGCTCTTTCTTCCACTAGGACAAAATCACCTGACTTCCCTGAAAGTCTGGTCAGTTCCCCATAGACAATATGGAGTGATCCATTTTCTCAATACACGATCTGTGTACTCTCACTTATCAGCGTGGAAACTTCAAAATCTACTCGTCGGACTGTAACCTGAGGGTCCACCTCCTCTCATGCTGCGGCTCTAACTCTGCCTATCGATCATTGCACATGTCATATGCTGTAGGAAGTGAACTGGTGGTCTGAAGCATAGCTTTAAACACCGTAACGACTCGGTTAAAAACTTAAATTAACGGTATGCCTCTCCGGGTAGTCGTGAAGGGGCCTGGACCCTGGGGCTTTAGGCTGGTTGGCGGTAAGGACTTCGAGCAGCCCCTGACTATTTCCCGGGTAAGTGTTACTGTTAGCTGCTCCTTCATAACTCAGTGTAACCACACCTGGGTTTGTGCCGACAAAAGGTCTCACCTCGCGCTGTGTCCTCTCGAGGACACACTGCTATTTAAAGTTAGCTGGTGTTAACAAAAGGCTAACGTTACTTCATAGAGAATAAACTAATGGCACACATGTAGCTAACGTGAGTTATTGTTAGTGTCGGCATATTGTACTTTCAGCTACTGACATTAATGACTGCAGCGTTTTAATTCGAGCACTTGTTGTAGCATTATTTCCCTATTTCAGTTACAATGTTATTTGAGATATCTTTTTTCGGTTGCTGGTGAATTGTGTTTTTGTTATACGTTACTTAACTGTAAACTTAAATGTATGCTACAAGTTAAACAACACTGTAGTGTAAGTATACCGTTACCGGTATTTCATAGTGTCTGCAGACTTTCTGATAACTTTTAGCTGTCATAATTATTTTAAAAGTCATAATTTCAAAGCATTATGTTGGTGAAATAATCTTATTTTTGACATCCCTGAGTGTCCCTGAACGCCTCTTCGAGCTTTTTCAACCCATTGTTACTTCACAACAGAAATGAATGCAAATCTTTATTACACATCATACAGTCCTGTGTCAGTAGTGGCTCAGAGTATGAGCCTCCTCTGTGTACTTCGCCTGAGTGTCGGCTGCTGTTCCTGTTATAAATGTTGTTACCGTGGTCGCTAACTCCACCCATGGAAACGTGATTAGGAATTCCAGGACTGAGCTGGAATCTCCCTCTGCTTCATGCTGGTTTCTATCTGAAACACCTCTGCGAGTGTCTACTGTGTTTACTGTAAATAATGAGATGTGTGTGAAGGTCAGAGTTAAACTATGTACGATTTAAGCTCTGATTAGAAAACAAGATTTCAGACTATAAAGTTATATCTGACTGTACAGTGAGTCAAAGGTGTGGTTTACACCTATTAATGATTCAAGATATTTTACATACATTTTATTTTTGCCGAAATATTATCGCTGGCTCTATAAAACATCAATAAATGAAGACATTTCCATCCTGTTTTCTCCAAATCTAAGTTGATATTTTACATAAAACATTGAAAAGCAGAACATCTCCATATGAAGTGGCTAAAAACAGCATTTTACTTGTCAATTGTCAAAAAAGTTGGTGCTATTATTTTTTTTCTTGACCTATCATTTGAGTTATTGTTGTAGTTCCAGGGTAAGTATGCCAGCTCCCATACAGCCCACAAAGAGTTGTGTTTTCCTATCATTAATCATGTCTCCTGTGTTGTAGGTCACCCCAGGGAGTAAAGCTGCCCAGGCCAACCTGTGTATTGGAGACATGATCCTGGCGATCGACGGAGAACCAACTGAGCCCATGACTCACTTGGCGGCGCAGAACAAGATCAAGGGGTGCATCGAGGAGATGGTGCTCTCCGTAGACAGGTGGGCCGTAGCTACATGTGCCAGTCTGATCTGCATGGAGTAATACGAGACAGCTGCCATCCAGGTGTTCAGGGAGTGACGTGATGGTTATTCATCCTGCTTAAGTCTCTCTTTTGTTGCACTCGAGTTTGAGAAGTGTGTGAATGCTAAGCTGTGTTGTAAATCTGCGCTGTGTCACTGCAGGACATCATACCATGATTTCAAGTAGCAGAGGTGTCGTAATGGGCAGGTTGAAACAAATGTGTTTGTTGAAATGAAGAGGGAATGTGTTGAATGCAGGGTTGGGTGAGCTGTCGGAGCTAAATGATAAACATGCAAAGGGTCTGTTGCATTGAAATACACAGGCATGGGATGTTTCTGTGCCGCTACACAGGTAACACAAGATAAGTTGTTGCGTTTAAAGCTAGTAAGATAATGTTGTGATCTTGTCCTTGTTCTTTTCTGCAGGTCAGAAACTAAATTGTGGTCCCCGCTTTCATCTGAGGAAGGGAGATCACATCCGTACAAGATGAATCTGTCAGCAGAGCCAAAGGTGTGTGTCCAGCATCTCGACATCAGACAGAATGGTCTTTGAATACCTCTTTAACTCAGCCTGTAACTGGAATCTCTCCAGGTAGCCATAGAGTTTCTGGAAGCCTGCACGTTCATTTCCCACCGCGCCCACAGAACCTTGTGGGCTGCTTTTCTTTTCTTTTATACTACCAGTGATGAAGTCATTGTTTACTTCCCAACAGGAGGTTTCCTAGGAGACGGTAGTTTATCTGCCAACTCTGACGCAAGCCTCAGTTCCTGCCCACTGAGCGGAAAGTTGCAGCCAAAGTGTGAATTCATGTCGGCCGTGTGTGTGTGTGTGTGTGTGTGTCACAGGTCACAGATGTTTTTTCTCACTCCACATGTTTGGAAAGCTTGTTTGGAGTCTGTCACTTCACTGTTTTAGTACTTTAAAACAATGCTTCTTACATTTAGGGCTATTGGTCAATGCTAGTTTCAGACTCTGGAATATTCTGCTATTGTCAGATGCTTGAAGCATGAGCTATTTGTGGAGGCATTTCCGTGTTCCCACTGAGAAGCATGAGCTACATGCGCCACTTTCATGGGATGCCAGTGTCATGTCGTAATTGCCTTTAAAAAGCATTGGCTATAATTAAGGCCAAATCCCCAGTCTACATTATCCTGCTAAATGATGTGTGACTGAGTCAAACTGGAAGCAGCAGTTCAAGACGCAAATAGTTTTCAGCTGAACAGTTTTAAATGTGCAGATGCAAAACATTTGTATTCATTGTTGAAAACACCGGAGGTTGGGTGTTTTCAGATATTGAGTAATATGTCATAACAGGAAGTCATCTGCATGTTTCTACATGTGCAAGTTTATGATAAAGTGACATCTGAAGGCGTCAAACGTAGGGACCACCGTCGCATCGAGCTGCACCGCGGGTGTTGCATGTTTCAGACTGAGTTATGTCACAAATCTCTGCGCTCACTACTTCGATGCTTGGTTACTGACAAAAAGCTTGAACAGTACCATTTTCCATTTCTTCTACAGGAGGTGAAACACATAGGCTCCACCCACAACAGGAGCGCTCTGCCCTTCAGCGGCTTCGGCCCCACAGTGGTGACCAACCAGTACAACAGCCCCTCCGGTCTCTACTCCTCAGAGAACATCAAGGACTTCAACGAGGCCGTGGACGAAGTGAAAACCATCGTGATAGCCAATGAGCTCAGCCACAAGTAAAACCAAATAGAAAACATAGATGGTCTGTCTTACTGTTATATTTGAGCGTAATTAGAACTGTGTCTCGTAGCTGTTGCCACACGGAATGCCCATATACAGTACGTGTCTTAAAAGGCTGGCTCTGTGGGAATTGTAGTCTTGCAAATTCCATGGACTTCAGAGGTCTCCACTAGGTGGACATATGATTTGACCTTTTGACAAAACAGAAACAGGCTGTAACAGTATCCTGAGACACCGCTTTATATCAAGTGGTCCTAATGGAGACTGGATCCAGATGAAAAGGATATTCGGGTGTTTTGGAGCTGCGTTGTTTTCTGTATAGTCTGACCTACAGGAGATGAGGGTTGGCACGCCTCTGGTTTGGAGAAACAGGCAGCGGTGGACCAGAAGCTGTCCTGTTCTGCAGTCAATGAAATGCTTTGGCAAGAGAAAGTGCTTCAGTTCCTAGTATGAAGGCCAATCTCACGCAAGATATAGCAAATGAAATACATCTCAAATAAAGGGTACTCTTAAAACGATACATATTTGATTGGGCGTCTTGAATAGCGTTGCTCCTGCCCCCGTACACAGCAGTGCGTTGTTTGCAGGTCAAAGTCTAACAGCGTGCTCCATGCCCTAAAGGCTGCCCTCGTGCTTTAGCTCAGTCACACGCCTCTGACTTATGTGTGATTCATCTTCCATCAAACAATAGGTTCATCTTTAACATTAAAGCTGTTCAAAGAATAACAATGCATTCAATGATCAATCGTTCTATTGCCAACCCAAAGGTGGCTGATTAGTCTGCTTCTGACTGCTGCTATGAGTTGATTCTTATTGCTTTTCTGATTAGATGAGTTTGACAGATTAAGGCCAGCTCCTGAATAGGCTGGGTGCAACATGTTTTTACAAGGTCTAGTAAAGATGAGGTAATCACTCAATTTGACTATTTGTCACTAAACGCCACTTTAAGACCATGAGAAGATAAACAATGTGTAAGATCTCCACTCTCTTGGGTACTTACTGAAATGTTCTAATTCTTTTGTAAGTCCTATGGTGTACATGTACAACGGTTTGGACCTCTGCAGACCGATTGAATTGTACTCTTGCTTTGCAGAGCTGCTTCAGATCCTTCGCAGGCGGGCAAGATGCCCCCTGTAGTCGCAGACTCTGAAGTGTACAAGATGCTGCAGGAGAACCAGGAGTCTGACGAGCCCCCCCGACAGTCTGCATCATTCAAAGTGCTTCAGGAGATCCTCGAGACAGGTACGCATCAGATTCCTCAAAGAGCAGTCCAGCAATTCCCCTTTACAATGTTTCGTGTGTGTGTGTGTGTGTGTGTGTGTGTGTGTGTGTGTGTGTGTGTGTGTGTGTGTGTGTGTGTGTGTGTGTGTGTGTGTGTGTGTGTGTGTGTGTGTGTGTGTGTGTGTGTGTGTGTGTGTGTGTGTGTGTGTGTGTGTGTGTGTGTGTGTGTGTGTGTGTGTGTGTGTGTGTGTGTGTGTGTGTGTGTGTGTGTGTGTGTGTGTGTGTGTGTGTGTGTGTGTGTGTGTGTGTGTGTGTGTGTGTGTGTGTGTGTGTGTGTGTGTGTGTGTGTGTCCTCTCCCTCCTCCCTCCCTCCTCCCTTATGGGGACAAATTGGAGGTCCCCATGAGGGGAATCATTCATTTTAGGGTGAAGACTTGGTTAGGCATGTGTTGGTTAAGGTTAGGATAAGTCTCCAGGAAATGCATGTAAGTCAATGTAAGTGATGTATACATTGTGTGTGTGTAGGTGACCCTGATAAACCGTCCGGGTTCAGGAGTGTGAAAGCACCCGCAACAAAGATGGGATCCTCGGTGGGGAACATGGACAAGTTACCCTCCTGTGACAAATGTGGATCTGGGATTGTGTAAGTACTTTCTGATTCCTCAGTAATGATTTGCAACACTGAGGAAGTAGAGCAGTGTTTATGGCTTCATCGGAATCTAATCTCTAGACGCTACTTTCAATGACGCCTGCTGTTAATCTTGCGTAGTGTTTTTACACTTAAAATGTCCACAATGTTGTGACGCAACACAAAAGGTTGTTGTCTCTGCTGGAGTGTGCTCAGTCAGTAGGGGCTTGGACTGGGAGCCGTAAGGTCGCCAGGACTGATACTTGGAGAGGTCCCAGTTCACCTCCTGGGCCCTGCCGTGGTGCCCTTGAGCAAGGCACCGTACGTCCCCCCACTCCCCATTGCTCCCCGGGTGCTGCCCACTGCTCCTAGAACTAGGTCACGTTTCACTGTGTGGGCTGTGTGGCCATTAAAGAAGGTTTCATCCTCCACATTCTGCAGTTTGTCTCCCCCTTGTGGCTGAATTCAGTTACTACCAATACCAAAGTGTTGTGGCAGCAGTCGCCTTGAAATAGTTTATTTCCATTAAACTACATTCTATTCTACTTTTTCAACCTACTTTGAGTTCCTGTTTGAGATGTAATATCCTTTTTAAAGGCACATGTAGGGTTTCCTAGAAAGCTAAACAATCTATTGACTCATTCAAATATAATCGTCGATCAACTTTTACTGATCCACTAGTGTGTGGTGGGGGGATTTCTCTTCTCTTTTAATTGTTCTGTGTTTGAAAGGTTTTTTGGGATTGGATCCCTTTTTTCTTAAAAAGCCAGCAAACCAGGTTTGAGATCATAAAAAGCATTCAGGCGGATACTTTGACAAAGGCAGGACCAGACTGGTTGAGCTGTGAATGTTGTGTTCACTCATCGAGCCTTTTCAGGTCCACTTACTGATGGATGTGTCCAGACACTCTTACAAACCCTTTGTGGTTATCATTTCAATGGTGTGTTGTTTTTGAAGTCTAAGTGTTGTATCTATTTTCTTGTCAGAATTAATATAGTGCTTTTTTGTGTTTTTAAATGATATCAGACCTCCATTTTAAACTTAAAAAATGTAACTCCTCATTTCTACAATCTTGAATGTTTGCATAAATTGCATGTGTAGTATAATAACAATATGATCTGCCTTGGTTCAGGTTAGTACTTATTTAGATTCTGACTTCACACCATTTCCTGCCATAGTTAGCAGTATATCAGAAACATAATGGCTTGGACTTGAGGTTTGTGTCTGTCTCTCTTTGTTTCCTCACCTTTCTCTCTACTGTCTGTGTGTCATAGAGGCATAACAACACCAAAGCAGGTCATGTGTAGCTGTATGTCAGTGGAAACCCTGTGTCTGAAGTCTATAAGAATCCGATTGATGCCAATTATTTTGGAATACAATTTTGTAGCAGTCATATATCGATGTAATGTTCTTCTGTCCAAACACCTTTACCCATGTAGGTTTGCTCCTTACCTTTCACACAGTGCACATAACATGGAAAGCTAATCCAAATATTTGAAATCCAGTTCATGGATAATTGTCTGGATGAAGTTAAGAACTGTGTTCATCAAGTGAAATGTGATCTTTACCTCTCTCTTTCAGGGGGCTGGTGGTGAAGCTGAGGGACAAGTTCCTTCACCCTGAGTGCTACACCTGCACAGACTGCGACGTCAACCTCAAACAGAAGGGACATTTCTTTGTGGAGGACCAGATTTATTGCGAGAAGCACGCACGTGAGCGAGTGACGCCTCCAGAGGGCTACGACGTGGTCACCGTGTTCCCCAAGTAGAGCGCTGAGCTCCGCCTCGGACTACGCTCCACTCCGACAGCATGACATAATCCCAGACATTACAGCATTTAGCAGCTCATGCTACTCGGAAAACTTTAAATTGGTCTCTCGCATTATGTTTCAGAGCAGTCCCTGGTAGGCACGACGAGAAAAAACGACATCTTTAGAAAGGTTGATTTGCACATTGACTTTACTACAAAAGGAAAATCAATATGAAATAATGGTGTTCATTTCTTCTCTTCCTAGAATTTTTTTAACTTTCCAATGACAGCCACGGCGTTTGAATAATATGTGTCCTTGTACATGTTCACTATGTTCTTTTGAATCATGGAAACAATGAAAAACCACTTCTTGACACATGTTTTCTACAATTTTATTAAATAAATAGACTTTTATGCAGCTCAAAATACCTTTTTGAATGTCATTACAAAATAAATAAGTTTATCTTACAGCAATTGTCTTGTCTGCCTTAATCATTGAATGTGCTTCATGCTCTTTAGTAAAGAGCTTTTCAAAATGAAGTGCAACATGGTCCGGAAATCATGCCAAAAACAACCGAAATGATCTTAAAGGACACTTATGATCATCTTTGTATATGTTTGTTTTGTGAACTCAGTGAAGGTGCTTTTGTAAGATCTGATTGGGCAGAAGCTTGAGAGTGAGTGACCAATTAGGATCTCATGTATTTGTATTTGCCCTTGGTTGCTGAAAGGAAACACCTGCTCTGATGTCCCTGAACTTATGTGTGGGAGAGACACGTGCCTAAAAGTGTTCAACTATAAAGAGAAATGCAGTTTTATGTTTTCAGAGTTGTTCATCAAAAGTGAGTCACTGCCAAGAGTTTTGGTCATTTTCACCACACAATGATTCGATATAAAAGGTGACCGGGAACACACTGGATGGATCTCTTGATAAAATGTTACACTTCATGTGATGAGAGGGGGGGTAACAGCTTCTCTGGTCACACTCAGCTGAGGTCGCACACTCTGCAGGTGAGTCCCACTCCGCTGAGGAGACACTGGCCGGGCTGCTAAGCCCTGACCCCCCCTGCAGGTACCCCCGCTGGTCGGCCATGTGCAGGGTCTCGGTCAGAGCCCAGATGTAGTTGTGGGCGAAGCGCAGGGTCTCGATCTTGGTGAGCTTCGCGTCCTCCGGCAGCGCGGGCAAGATGCTCCGCAGCGCGTCCAGGGCCGAGTTCAGGTTGTGCATCCGGGAGCGCTCTCTGTCGTTGGCCTTCACTCTGCGCCGGCCCCGCGGCTCACCTCTGCTTCTCTGTTTCACATGTTTCCCTGAGGAGGCTTCCCCCCCTGTGCCAGGCTGGGCTTTCCGAGAGAAGCTCTCCCCGGAGTCCTCTGCAGTGCTACCGGCTGCAGATGGAGAAAACCTGCTGCGCGTCACCGCGTCTCTGGATGTGTGCAGATCAGTGGAGGCGCAGAGAACTTTAGGAGACATCCTGAGGTTGAATATAATTGAAATAATGAATACTCTTTTGCATAACCACAATCATATAATATATGGTTCGATAGGTTAACACAAGTGAAATAACTTAAAGTAAAAAGTAATTTAAGATTGTTTCTTCTTCTGAAAATAGTTTCCATGAGTTTTTAACAGGTTTATAAATAATAATCTATGAGCAAACGTATTTTTCTAGTGCAGGTTTTTAGGATGGATGGGTATATTTGCACTGACCTGACAGGTGATGCTTGGATAAGGATGCAGCCCTCGTTAATCCTCTCTGGAGCTGGAGTCAGCGGTCACTGGAGCTGTGCAGCTGACAGTGAGGGATAGATGCGCATCTCTGCTATTTTATATGGCCTTTATCTTATCTCTCTGCACGGAGGACGCCTGAATCAACAGCGCCTGTCAGGAGCCAATCAGCTTCCAGGCGGCGCGTCCTTCACCTTCTCCCCCCCCCCACTCTCAGACTTCACACTGCTGTATTTCTTTGTGTATTCTTTGTCATTTTCAATCAAGTGCATGTGTGTGGTATAAAGTGCCATGCAGGTTAAGCAGAACTTTATGTTATAGCCTGAGTGACATCCAAATGTATTTTACTTTTTCCAAAAAGTGTGACTTCAAAATCAGTGATCATTCAGGATCACCGATGTTCTGCTTCTCCCTGAAAACCTTCCATATACTCCAATTGTTATAACATCCTGTCAGTAATACACTTGGATGATTTTCGTACCATTTTTGCGCACATTTTTGGAATAAGAATGGAGTTCTTGGCAAATATTTAACTCATCAGTCTATGTCTCTCCAGAAACACTTTTTAACATGAAGTGTGAGTTTGCTTTTGCAGATGTTATCGGATCTTTATCTTTATGGATACTTGAAATGGCACATTTTACGCACTCATGTTATTGGCACATGCCATGCTGGGTGCTTAGTGTCCATTGGAATATGCCAAAACTAGCTTCCAAAATCAACTTCAAGTTCACCATACCTAAAAATGGAGGTTAAAAACAACTTTACATTCACGATTATTTTGAAAATAATTGTTTAAAATAGAGTATGCTGTTGGATATTTTTGGAGTGTGCGCATATCACATGACTTGTTGGCATTCAATTACTTTAAACTGCTGTATTCTTTTTTTTGCCACCATTTTTTTTTAAAAAGCCACTCATCTCTGGTTGCATAAAAACTCGGATCTATATCAAAGAAAAAGTCATTTTTATTCCTTTAGATTTGGACAAACAGTTGCTTATTGCGTTAGAGCGCAAAGCTCACGTTGTTGGATAAAGACAATTACGCATGAGCCCCCCAAACACACAGTATATGAGAGGGTGAAACCCGTTGCGGGAAGTGATAGTACAAAGGCTCTGGTCGTGTGACACGACAATAAAATCTATATTTCTGCTGTAGTGTGATCCTATATGTGTGCGTTATGACATCTCCAAAAACATGTCCACTATTGGCACAACTTGGGTGCGCATTAGATTTAATAATGTAACTTTACTTTTAGAAAGTTAAAGATTACTTTTATATGTCAACAACATGCAGACACGTTTCAGTCGTGACGGTGGGGGGAGGGGAAGTGTGGCAGAGCTCAAACATGATTTACAATTGCCAACAAAGGATAACAAAAAGCTCTCCTTAACTTTCTGTCTAAATATGTGTTTTGGGAACAATCTGATAACCATATGCTTTCAATAAACTGGACAAATATACCAGTGAGATACGAGATGGTGCTTTGCTGTTATAAAAGGCACGGAAAGTCTAAAGTAAACTAAATATTACCACTTTACAAATAATCATTTGTGCCAAATCCATATTCGGATATCGTGGACAGGTGTGGGTTTGGAGTTGTCAGTGTCTCCCCTTGATTTTTTTATCAGTGTGCTGTAGTGTCCTGCTTGTTATGCAAAGTGTAGGCAAACACAAGCGCGCAGTTGCTGTGGAAATAGCAGATATCGGAGCAGACTTGCTACGAAAAGTGATTTAACAATATTTAACAATAAACTGAGCAAGCTCCCGAGCAGGTGATACCTGCCTGATGCTCCTGGTTAATACTTCCTCTAGCACTTCACTTTACAGTCTCCTTTGCTTATTTATAATACGAAATCTATTTATTATTATTTTAGCAAACAGAGGTACCAGGTGGGGCTTTATTTTCGTCTTCAGCTTTTTGTTTGAAGGACGTTTTGAGGGGGGCAATCAAAGTCCAACAACTCGCTGACCAGATTGTTGTCATCCCAAACTAGCAGCGAAGCCATTCAATGTGCCCCCCTCCTCTTCTTCTTCCTGGCAAAGAGCTGCCGGGAGAGAGAGAAAAGGAAAAAGGGAAACTTCTTCAAGAAAGAAAAAACATCTTAAAAACATTTAATTGCAACCCGGATGCCATATGTACACCTCTTGTAAAACCCCTCAACAATGTGACTGCCTTTTAGAAAGTATGGAGTGCGCCTTTGGAGACGTGTGCGCTTTGGAGAGGTGCACGCGTCGTGACCGGAATGACCCGAACACACTTTACACAATAAGTAATTCACTTTTAATGTGCTTTGGAGTTTCCTTTCACAGGCAATGCATTGTACCGCTCACCTCAGCTTTAGAAGACAGTGTATGCCAATTACAGTGGAATAGCTGTCCTATGGACACAGTTTGTCTTTTCTAAAGGTTGTAAGCACGAATAGGGCTGTGGCTGCACGTCGCCCTCTTTCACCCCCTAAACTAATGCACCATGCTTTTCCTTTCTTCTGATAGCCTGTTTACGATGTTACACCTTGAGTTCATTAGTGACTCAAAGAAGGACAAGTGTACTTTTTTTTTTTTTTTACTAATTTATGTACGTATGTATGTAAGTACGTGAATGTTAAATAAAAATGTAGCAATCAAAGATAACCATATCGACTTAACTTTATATAAACAATCTCATTTACAAATACTTTTTTGCGGGCTTTTAGTTGAAAGTCTTGCGTAAAATTCAATAGTTCTGCGATGACTGTTGAAAATATTTAGGATATACATATCTTATATTTTCAAGAATTCTGCATTGCCACCGAGTCAATTTTACACAATCAATAATTTTGCTGAATGGTAAAGTTACTATGTCAGGTAAGTATGTTCCTGGTGGACCTCCAGCATTGTAATTTTATAATTATATTTTCTAAATTAAAATTACTGGTGAAATCAACTGTTCGAGTAAGGCAGCCAACTCTGAAATGTGCTAGTTTTCAATCCCAAGAAAATATAATTAGCCTAAATCACCTTAGTTACAATTATCTATCTAATAAACTAGGTTTTATTTTTCATTTGGTCCTTTTAAGATGTGCATATAGAGCATGATGCATCATCAAGGCTCATTTTAGTACTTTGGACCCTAACCAACACAGACCTGCCTGTTTAGATGATGATAGTCAGGTATACTTCATATAAAACACTCTAAGCCCCTCAGGCGAATTTCTGAGGTTTTCCATTTCCGTTATAGGTTGTGTTTTATAGGTTTTTGGAAAAGTAAATTCTTTGCAAAGGCTAAAATCCCAAAGTTCCTAACAGAGGGGGTTTATCTCCCAACCCCCCACCTACCTGAAACACCTCAATTATAGTCCTTTGTTTACTTCAACAACATAGTGACATCACTATGTAACACTCACGCTTCTACTCAGGGGCGCCGCCAGGGATTTTGGGCCCCATGTAAAGATATCACATTAACCCTCCTGTTGTCTTCGGGTCAAATCTGACCGATTTATCATAACTTTTTTGTTTCAGATTCGATTGCATCAAGGCTTTATGATATCCTTCACAGTAGACATTTGAACTTATACAATTGCTGATCACCACTTTCATTGAATTTTGGATGATTTAGTCAACTTTGTAACACCCATGGTGTTCCCGATAAAACACACACAAACACCCACACCCCCACACACACACACACACACACACACACACACACACACACACACACACACACACACACACACACACACACACACACACACACACACACACACACACACTCTAGATGTGTTCCCCCCCTTATGTGCCCAAACCCCCCATGTGAATCACACCTGGCACACGCAATACATGTTCAGTGTCAATTATTTGTATATTTACTGCAGTTGTTCATGTACACCAGTAGTCTGATACAATATTTACAGTTTGAAAGGGTGTTCAATGAAATTTGGGGGGGGGGAACGAAGACAATAGGAGGGTTGAACATGTTTTTCTTAATGTCCTAAAATAGTTCGGGTCCCTGTCAGTCACGGGCCCTTAGAATCGTCCAAACTTTTCACTCCCTTACGGCGCCCCTGCTTCTACTGGCTAGCACCCAACACATTGTATGAAACGCTAAGGATTGGGACATCTCTAAGCGGTGGACCAATCACAACAGAGCCGGCCAGCTAACCAATCAGAGCAGACTGGGCTCTGGTTTCAGACAGAGGGTGGAAAGAGGTGCTGCAGCACAGGCAGTCTGAGAAAAATAAAGAGTGAAAAATGTTAATCAATCTATAATATAAAAGTTGTTACTTGACTAATATTACACAGCAGTGTTCTCCCTTGTGTCAGTAGCTTCAGCATTAATATTACATAAAAAAAGACCCCGTTCAAAAGAACGCAAACTATGTGAACTAGAGAAGAGCTTTGTAGGTGCAGCATGTGTCCTCCTCATGTTGTTGTTGGGGGTCAGCTGCAGTGCCAAAGCTCAGCCGCTGGGAGGCGCTGTTTACACTCCTAAAAAGAAAACAACATTTAATCTTATTACAAAAGCAGCAGCAGACGATGCATTCATGTAACGTCAAACATATGGTATAGGTGAACAACATTACACAACTGTATGCCACATACTTATCGCCATCTTCTTAACAAAGAACTCACAGTTCAGTTGCCACATGCTCTAGAGACGTCTATGGTACCTAAACGTATATTTAACAACCATAAACATGTTTTTGTCGCTCAAAGAGTAACTTAATACCACGCGATTCGTCATGATTGCCATTAAAGAATAACTGAAATATCAATCATTTATCATTCATCATTTTATATCAATTTCATAGAATTCAACAATCTTCTAGAACATTGTGTTGTATTATGTAGGCGATACATAACATAAGGATAAAGGACATTTAATTAATGGTGTTGAACAGAGTATTCCAGTAGAAACTGAATTAATTTCTAAACTTTTTACAGATAAACTTTATTATTAAAGTTATGTTGATTAAAAGTGTTTAACTTCCTACAAAAAAGGTGGATTTTTATTATTAAGATATGTAAATGTATTAATTTAGATAGATACATTATTTGTGTGAGCTCATCAACGTTGATGGATACAACTATTAACGATTAATGATAGGCCTTACTTTAAAAACGATATTGTATGAATTTCGACCTCATTATTTGAAACAAATCTGATTAGGCTATGTTATTTTTATTTTTTTTATTTGCAATGCACTAATATGACTGGGTGTTGGAGTTTACGAAAAGCATATGATGCGGCTCTTTGGTAACTCACTCAGTTGTGGACGTCAAAACGTGCGCCACTCCTGTCTGTTCAGTGGTAGATCTACAAACCATGTGGCCCCGCACACACAGCGGTCTCGTGGTGATCCGCAGCACTGTTAGATCTACACATGCTCAGACCGCGCGGGCGCAGCTTTACCAGGCTGCTGGGCACTTCCTGAATCAGGGTTAGCTAATAGCTTGCTGCTGTGTTTGTTAGTAGCATGTAGATGAGAGCCGAAGACTCGAAGGCAGGCTGCTGGAGGTGACTTTCCTGAGAAGCAGACAAAAAAGAGGACTTTCAGCGAGAGTTTGCCTCGACAACATGGACTACTGGGTAAGTGTTGCTTCACTTGTTTCTGTTTTTACACTCAGGACGGTGGCAGGGCTGCTACAAGACGCTTAAAGAGACCAAGACTTGTTTACCAATAGTAAAGTGAGCTAGCGAGCTGCCTAGTGTTGCTCTTAGTGATGCTGCACCTCCACAAACAGTGTGTTTGACTGTGACCCCTATTAAGAAAGCCTTGGTCTTCAGATTTCAGGGTGTTTTTGAAGAAACCTTTAACATATATTGATACTTTAAAGCCTCCTGTAATGGGATATTTTTGCATAACACGAGCCACAGTATGTTTTCAGAAAAAATAAGACATTCACAGAAAGTGTTAAAGGTGCTTCCTGTACAGGACTTCATGTAAAGTCTAAATCTATGTCAGCGTGTAGGGTTTGCAGCTCCTTCCTATTGTTTATTGTAGGAGCCAGCCACTGTAAGATTCCAGACCCTGCCATACTTAAACCTGCAGGAAGCTTAAACAAAGCATTACTTTAGTACTGCCACCAGAGAGCTTTTCAGATTTGGGGGATTTTTCTTAAAGGAGCAGAATCAAGTTTTGTTGATGGTAGACACCAGACCATAGACTCAGCACTACTGTGGCTAGTCTGACACATAACAGCTGTCTGTCAGTGCAACATGTTTATCCAAAGTGTGTCACAGGGACTCCTGCAGATCATTTTGAGGAAGAAGAAGTATCTCTAAAAGCGTACTTTTGGGCTAAATGTCAAATCATGACACAACAGCTTTGACGCTTTGTAAGCGGTTAGAGAAAATAAGTAATGATCTCCCCCTGAATGATTTCTGGATCCCTGTTTGACTTGCGGTGTTGCTCACAGTCTTGTTTCTCCTTGATGTATCCAGGAGCAGCCACCTCACACCCAGTACATTTCCATGAGAACATGACCTACTCTCTGAGACAACAAAAGCTCTCCTTACAGAATAGCCAAATGTTGTACGAGGGGGAGCAAAGGAATGGGCGTCCACTGTTTGGCAATAAGTGGGACAATACTGGAGCAAGTGTCTTTGTGTGAACTCTGTATCACTTTTCCTGAGGCAAAGACAGCATTGAATTGTTGTGGGGAAAGGACCCGAAGGCGAACCTGTAGACATAAAGTGAGTTGGATAACAAACAGGATAAGGATCAGACTTGCCTTTTGCACTGATGTGAGATAACGCAGTTTAATCTTTGCCTTTATGGCAGATACGTGACAGCCACCAGTAATGTGCTTCATACCAGCATGCTACCTTTACTCACAGACACGATCCCTATCATGAAAACCCAAACCCTCACCGTCAACACATAGTAATGGATTTTTTCTCCCCACCTCTGTTCAGCTGATCTAGTCCAACCTGAATAAGAACATGTTACCTAAACAGGCAGGTATGACAGCTATAGACTAAGCAGGGGGGGGGGGGACTCCTGTTCTCACTGACAGCCCTCCATTCATTCACTAAATGATTTGAATATTATATTATATATTATATTGGATATTTCATATTATCCTCATCATCAAGCTAAATGTATGCATTTTCACTGTTAGTCAATTATGCTTTGAAGTACTTGAACACAACACATTGTTTCAAAACCTTCAATTGCACAACAGAGCTTGCCTCATTGTGCTATTATGGGATGTTTATATCAGGCGGCGCAGACTGGGGTTATTACTTAATATAATGTCTTTTGAACCTTAAGCTTCTGATTGTGGCTGAGGTGGAGAAAACAAGGTTCCAGGTTATCAAAAGGGTCTGCTATTGTGTAATAAAAACACAGCAGATGAGAGATAGTGGAAAGATTACTTTGCTTCACTTGTGAAATGGTATGCGTGAGTCAGTTTCTGTCATATTGCTGCCTCTAGGCTCAGGTATTGTTTTGTGAGTTCCGTTCACATTCAGATTAATAACAAAGGGTTCAGCGTTAATTTGTGATCAGGATTACATTTTGAAAATATAACTTAAAATCTGACTTTGTTGAGAGGAACTTCCTGTCTTGTTGAAGCATGATTTATTGCAAAACATCCCTCACTGGCTGGATGTGTTGTTGCCGGTCTAGCTGCTGGGAGGAGTCTGCTGACAGACATGCAGGCAGCTGAGCTTTCTCTCACTCTCACCTGGAGAACACGACAGTTTTAGTTAGTGTTAGGAGGAACTGAACCCCGATAGGTCTGACAATGTCTTCTGATGTAAGTACTAACATTTGGGATATGTGAACTGAATACGAGCCTGAATTAATATAAATATTCATAGCTAACCATATTAGGATTCTTATAGTTATCTTAATATTTGAGGGTTGTGTTATTGAATGATAAATACTTGAGTGTTGTGGACATTTGACTTTGACATACTGTGAATATAGCTTCTCGTTGGGGGTTGTTTTTGTACCTTTTTTAAAGTCAGTAGTTTACAAAGTTTCTCTTTCTTGAAAGGGAGTTCTTGGAAATGTGTCTCTGTTTCTTGGCGTAATGTTGTTCATATTTCTAAAAAATATTTTTGGGTTCGGAATAACTAGTTCAATCTTTATCAAGCAAACTTGGACTTCAGTTTTCCATTTCCAGAGATGAGACTAAGGATTTAGGGCTTGACTGTTGGATCATTTAAACAGTGTTTTATGGGATAATACATGCATTCATAGTTAACATGTGAAATGCAGGTACAAATATCCTCATCTTGTCTCAAGAAATCTAACAACAATTTGAAATTGAATTTTTTATTTTTTTACAATGTGGTCATGATTGTGTCACTGGGCAGATGTTTAGTTATTTTGTTCTTCTTAATGTTTCACATGGTATCTGTATGTGGTTGTGCAGAGTGCCTTGGAGGTGTACAGGGAGATGGTGCTGCTGTACCTGGATCAGGGCCGGCGGCAGGTCAACACACACTGCTCCGACCTGGAGCCCTGGCAGATCATCGGAGCGTCGGTCATCACCACGCTGGGCGCCGTCTGGATCAAAGGCTTCTTCTTCGAGCAAGAAAGTAATCATTTACACATGATACACGACTGATAAGTGGGGGGGGGGGGGGGTAATCAGATATGATAACTCATGAAAATTGCCATGTTCACAAAGCTTCTTGAGTCATCTTGGCCTTATTCAACAACATTTGAGGGTTGACTTTTGAGCAAAAATAATTGGTTAGAACGTTTTCTTCTAGTTGTATTATATAGGATTTCACTCAAATTTCAATAGTTTAAAAAACAAACTTATTTATTTTTCAAAGCATTATGATCTTTTAAAATGAGTAAACACTACTGAACTGAGCACTAGATTCTATATATGCTATTACGCTTCCACTTCTGACACTAGGTAAAAAAACATCCTCGTACGAAGTTCACTTCCTGTAGAAATAAAAAAACGTCAATACTAATGACTTTTTTGTTATGTATGGCCTGGTGTTCTTGACTTAATTGTTCTCCAACTTCCTTTAAGATGTCTGTTCCCTTAAGTGGTGCTTGTGTTTACCTGCTAGTTAGGATCAGCTGTCACAGGTGTTTTTTTAATGGATGAGAACAATGGGATTTATCATTGTAAGAATAAAGATAAAAACAATTCTGTGGTTTGAGAACACGTCATGAATCTGACAAAATCAGAAAGATTTAAGAAAAATTCTAGAAAGATATTTGCTAATGAGGCAGAATCCTCCCGTATTGGAGTTTGGCCGCCATTCTCCTATTCACTTTCATATTCTCTGCAGCTTTCTTGCTCATCTTAGTGACTACCTTTGAGTTGAACTTTCCCTGTTATTCTGAAGCTAGTACATTCTAACAACAAGACTTTCTAGATCTGCTATCATCAATCAATCAGTGGTTGAATTCCTCATGAACAAGGTCAGCTCCACCTGTTCAGCTCGTAGAGAGTGAAACTTGGACAAAGTGAGGCTTCGTGGAGGACTCGTTATGTCTTCAGTGCTTTCAGGGTCAGAATGAAATGCTTTGTGAACACGGCTTCATTATTCATAGAGCACTGGTCTTGACGAGTGATTATAGGTCATAGTCAGCTGTTTAATGTTTGTGGTTGGATGAGTGTGTGAGCCCATTTCACCACAGCTGCTGCCTCGTGTCTTTGGCCTACAGGTCTCCTGTCGCGAATCAAGAAGCTGTGCTTTCGACTCGTCAGAAAAATACCCTTTGTTGGCGCAACAGTAAGTATCAGTGGTAAATGAGTTCCTTCTTCTCCGAGCAGATGTGCACTGAGTCACTCATGGATGACTGAGTACAGCTTGCAGAGGGTGTGGGGGGTGGAGGGAGACCTTTGGCACAAGTTACATCATGCACTGGTGATAACAGTCTGCTACTTCTGGTCATTATGAAACTCACTTTATCAAAATGGTACAAAAAGTGTAGATAGTACAGACACGTTTTGGTCACGTCTGATAAACAGTTACATCACCATAACTCCTTTCTGGGAATAACATGCTTTATCTAACTTGTTGTTTTCCTCTTTGTATAACAGATCCAGACCCAGCTCAACAAGGCTCTGGATGACATGTCTGCTAGTCTGTGTACTCTGAAGGAAGGGATGAGCTACACTAAGCAGCTGCCCTCTAAAGGCCTCTCCCAGAGCCAAGTGCTGGACAAGATCAGAGAGTACGAGACTCTGAGTAAGTCGGCATTCATTCCTGACCTTCACTATCTGTCTAGCTTAGACTTCCTGGAGAATATTTCATTACCGACTGTTGCCTTTTTGCATATTTACGAGAAATCCCTTGTGTCGTTGCAGATGAGGTGAAGTGGGAGAAGGGATTTGTTTCGGGCACAGTGTACTGGGGGGATGAGTCTCTGACCAATCTCCTGGTGAAGGTATGCATCTTTGTATACATTTCTGGACTTTGGCATTCCAAGCACAACTAGTCCAAGGTTGAACTTGGATGCATTCTTAGTGTTAGCTACAGTAAGCAGGATACGACTGAACTCTCTTTTGTCATTTTTGACAAACAACTCCTGTTTATTCCTTTCTTTTATTCCTAGGTATATGGAGATTTCGCATGGAGCAACCCACTTCACCCTGACATTTTTCCTGGGGTAAGAAAGATGGAGGCAGAGGTTGTCAGAATGTCTTGCACACTTTTCCACGGTGGACCAAACTCCTGCGGCGCAGTAAGTTATCCTCATCATATGCTTCACATTGTATGAACTAAGGATGGATAGATCCAAAGCATTTCAACAACTCTGCCTTTTTGTCCAGGTCACTTCAGGAGGAACTGAGAGCATACTGATGGCCTGCAAGGCGTACAGAGACATGGCGTATGAACGTGGGATCAAATACCCTGAAATGTAAGTGGAGCTTTATTAGAAATAGTTGATAAGTACGTTTTTTGGTTATACATATTTGTGTCTGCAAATCAGTTTCATATTTTGAAAAGGACAAGACAATGCAACCGTCCCTTTTTGAAAGGTCTCAATATTAGTTTGGATAAATAAAAGGAATAGAGACTATGTTGTGTCATGATAAAACGTAGTTACATCATAAAAAGAGATTGACAAAAAAGGGTTAAGAAGAGTTTAAAATACAAAGTCATAAAATTGGTAAGGGGTTGACATTTCTTGTAAAAGCTTTTATTTTTATTTCTCAACTGATATGTCTTTAAATTCCAACTAGTACAGAGCATTTGGTTTTCCATGTTATTGTAACATTTTTTTGGCTGTAATTAAGAATTGCATTGCTACATTTTAAATTAGAGAAGTTACAGAAAAAAACCTCTAATAGGAAATGAATCGCCTTTATTTGCGATATGATGTTACATTTATGTTGCCAACTTCATCAGTTTTAAAACCCAAGCAAACAAAACTTCATTTTTGTTAGGACATTTACTTCCTTATGGCACAACACGTGAGCTACACACTAGTGGCTGCAACAAACACTAAGTGGATTATTCAAGAAAATCATCAGACCTTACACAGGTAACAGGCACACGTAAATAAAGTCCAGCAATCTGTAATGAATTAAGACCAACTGTTGAGCAAAATAAAGTAAAAAGACATGAGTTTTAAACCACTAATCAAATCAAGTAATAGATTGTCAACCTTGATTAAAATGGATATAAAGAGGTGAATCCAATCATTTCTTTAAAGCTTGTTTTTGACTGATCTTTACAGAAGTTGTAACATTAGTTTTTGTGTTTTTTCTACTTTTTGCAGTGTTGCCCCTTTGAGTGTCCACGCAGCCTTTGACAAAGCAGCGCATTACTTTAGGATGAAGCTTGTTCACGTTCCGCTCGACAAGAAAACCATGAAAGTAGACGTGAAGGTGAGAATACACAGACACAGCATGTGCTCATTGACTTCTTCTCATAGACATTAATTATGTCCATATTTCTTCTCTCTCAAGGCTATGAGGAGAGCCATCAACAAGAACACGGCCATGCTGGTGTGCTCGGCGCCTCAGTTCCCACATGGAATCATTGATCCCATTGAAGAAGTAGCCAAGGTGAGAAGTGACACATTCCCCCTAGAACATTTTCTGAAATGAGAAGAAGAAAGCCAAGTCTCTTATACTTTCCCTCGCTGTGTTCCAGCTGGCGCTGCGCTACAGCCTCCCCCTGCATGTGGATGCCTGTCTGGGAGGTTTTCTCATTGTGTTCATGGCCAAGGCTGGTTACCCACTGGCTCCTTACGACTTCAGGGTAAAAGGTGTAACCAGCATCTCTGCAGACACCCACAAGGTAAGGAGTGGTTGTTGATTCACTCCAAATTAATGCTGGTGAGAAGCTTGCCTACTTAAGAAAAAAACATCTTATAACAAATCCAGAAAATAAACATTTCACTATTTATAAAGGATTAATCATATAGTTTAAAGACCAGTGTTACATATATACTGGCTCCTCTAGGCCACACTTTATTGCAAGTCTAATGCTGCGTTTCTACATTCTTCTCCAGTACGGTTACGCCCCTAAAGGCTCCTCAGTGATCCTCTACAGTGATAAAAAGTACCGGCACTACCAGTACTTTGTGGCTCCAGACTGGCAGGGGGGAATCTACGCCTCGCCCTCTGTGGCAGGCTCCAGGCCCGGAGGGATCATCGCCGCCTGCTGGGCGACCATGATGCACATAGGAGAGAACGGATACATAGACGCCACCAAGAAGATCATTAGCACAGCTCGCAAAATCAAAACAGAGTAAGACACACAGGTCAAGATCTGTTAAAAACTACTGTTTAAATGATCACTTGCACCATTTCAATAACTTTGTGTTTCTTTTGTTGACAGAACCTCCAAGATTAAAGGTGTGTTTGTGTTTGGGGACCCCGAGGTGTCGGTTGTGGCAATAGGCTCCGATGAGTTTGATATTTTCCGTCTGTCCAACGCACTGACGACAAAGGGCTGGAATCTGAACACTCTGCAGTACCCATCCAGGTACGTATTGAAAGAAATATTCAAGAAATGGAATAACTTCATTAGAAGTCAGGAGTTTGACAACTCGATGATGTTCTCTTTCACAGCATCCACATTTGTTGCACAGTCCTACACACGCAGAAGGGCGTCGCCGATCAGTTTGTCCATGATGTCAAAGAGCAGGTCGCCATCATCTTGAAGAACCCCAAAGAGAAAACCACAGGAATGGTGAGAGAGCTCTGCTACACACTTGTTCATGCTGCAATAATACCCTGACTATACAGTATGTTTAAGTAGTAAATTCATATAAATAGAAAGTATGTATACAGTACAGTAGTAAGTATACAAAATATACACCAACAAACACTTGAGAGGATCTTCTATATAACCAAGCATTTAAAAATAGATTTGTTTTAAAAAAGTGTCACATTTGCTCCAGTACGGTTACATAAATAAATATGTTTTGCCACTCCAAAGAAGTAAGTTAAATTAAACATATACTGCGTTGAAATCTGAAGATCTTTAACTCACCCTTTTGGTGTGGTGCTATTCAAACACACAATTCACACCAGTGAAAAATATTTTCAGAAAATAAAAGCTACCAAATAATCGAAAAATCCAAACTTCCAGTCAACTTACAATCACCTGTTCAGCTGACCTACATGTCTTTAGACTTTAGGTGGAAACCTGAGAATACTAAGGAGAGAATCCTTCTAGTGTGTGTTCTTTGTTTCCACCTATCATGGTGCCAAGTGTGAGAGAGTACAACTTTCATTTGTTGTGAGGCATGACAAAGCATGTCAAATATGTCTGCCACTATCTATTGTGTCCCATGTTCTTAGTACACGTGGCATTTTGTTTTCCTGCTGCACATACTGCGTATGCTGTTTGTGTTTTGAGTTTTAAATGGAGTGGGAACTCCACCCAACAGGCCCAAACCGGCTTCATGCCAATCAGGTTTGTTTAGAGCACACCAGGGAATGAAGCATCATCTACAGTTGAATAACAGAAATGAAAGGAAGGACCATACATGGAGCAAAAACCTCTTTAAATGACTTAGTATATTTGATTCATTCTTTTTTTTTTATTATTAGGTTTTTTTATTTATCCCCTAATTATTGTCGGAGCTGCAGTTTCACAACTTAGAGCATTAAAATCTATCAAATAGACCAGGGGGTATTTAGCTAAAAAAAATATATTTCTGGGCGGTGTTGGAAGGTATGCTGCTGGGAAAAGTAGTAACACCCTTAAGCAAGTACAAGTAGTAGGTTAGTAAGAATAGTAAATAATCATATATTTCCTGAAATGCTCTCAAACCACAAACTGTTCATAATCTCTCTGTGCAAAAGGAGTGTGTGTGTGTCTTTATACTTTATTAATGTATTGTCTTCCAAACCTTCCTATCATATATTGAGCAAGGTTGACGACACGCAAACCTAAGCAATAACCAACCAGCGGTCTTGGGTCAAGAAAGGTATTTTATTAACAAAAGATTTTGACTTGAAAAAAAAACTCTCGCAATTCAACAATTGCCCCGCTGCCCAGTCTTATCAGGTGACATACATAACCACATAACTAACATTACCTACCAAGTACGATTTGTTTTACCTTGGCTCTAGGTTCATTACGGCTGCAACACTTACTGAGCAGTTGTAAACTCCCTTGTGTCTTCCTGTTGTTTCAGGGAGCGATCTACGGCATGGCCCAGTCCATCCCAGACAGATCCATGGTGACGGAGATCTCCAGAGGTTTCCTGGACTGTCTCTACAGCACTGAGGTGTCCCTGTCAAACACCAGCCACATGAATGGCAACGGCAAAGCCCACCACTGAAGCTGCATGGGCCCCCCCGCCCCCACCGCACGCAGGGAAACACGCTCGCATCCTCCTAGAGTTTCGAGCTAATCGTCAACGGTTGCCTTATCTTACACACCTACACCATACGGAAAACATCTGCAAAGATCTTTAAAGCACAAGCCATAGTCATATAATCAGCCCAGAGGGAAATCGCTTGTTTAGGCAGAGAGAAGAAATTACTTGTTCCAAAAGCATTTGATTTTATCATGTATCTAGTGAAAGTGTGTGTGTGTGTGTGTTTGTTTGTGTTGTTTTAAATGTTTAACAGTTCATTTCAATTTTAGCATGTGTTAAATGCTAATGTTTCTCATAATCTCTACTGATTGCATAGCAAAACCATTCCTTTTTTTTTTCTTTTACTGCCGGAACATTTCAGCTTGTTGCCTGACTGCCATGACTCAGCAAAAACCACTGAACCCTTGTTAGTGACGCTGTGCTGCCCTCTAGCATAAACCTGATGCAGTGCTTTATATATGTGGAGGCTCAAAGGTATCATCATCATGTGGCAATTCTGGCAGACAGCTTTTACAATGTAAAAACTCTACGATGCCCCGACTAGAGCATATCAGGGTAATCTGTAAATCACTTGAACCTACAGTTCTGATGTTATGGTAGAAGTGTGTCTGTGAGCATGAACACGCATGTCCTTTGTTTGATGGCACTTATTGTGATGACTATTTTCGTGATCCATCTACAGTGGTTGGATTTGTAGACAGAGGGAGAATGATTTAGATAGTGGGAGCGTTTAATGTAGTTAATAATGTATACAATTGTTGTTTGAATTACAAAGGGTAGAACTAGCCACAAGGCCGAATATATATTTGTGTTAAACCGCAAATGGAATCCAAAACTAATTGGACTCTTGGGCTTTTTAATTGGAATTCCACACATTAGCTTTTAAAGGAAATTAAACAAACACACTAGACTGAAGGCTGTTTCCACCTCTGGTCCTGTTTAAACTCAATAATCTGCAAAGTCTGCATAGAGTCACTTGTCTATCACTCTAGTTTTTAATAATTTGTCTCTTAATTCAATCTACCTCAGTTTCTACTCAATGAAAATGTCATGTATTCATCCACTGAAACACTTTCAAAGAGGGCAAGTGTTTTTTTTCTTGTCTAACATAATCTTCACAATGTAAGGGCATACAAACTGTAATAAAGATAAACTGTTTGACTGATCGATTCAATTGTTTGTTGGGAGAAACCCACTCTCTGCCCTGTCTGAATGTAAATATATCCATTCAGCAGGATATGTACACATACTTACAGTTGACAATGTAACAATGCATTCTGTAACACCAAAACATCTGTTCTTTTATTTGCTTTCCTAATATTGCTTGTTGAAATTATTTCCATGTTTGTGCAATATATAACTTTTCCTTTTGTGAAGTGAAACAATGAGGACTGCTCTACTATAAATGTTTTAAGTCAATAGAAGCATAGTATTGAATGACATATCGGCCTTGTTAGTAAGTGTAATTTAACCACTGGGTGTGTATTAATCACTTAATTTGTGAGCGTTTGTGTTTTACATACTGAGCATTTTTAAAGAGATTAGACATGAATGTATTTAGGTTTTTACATGTGCGGGATTTTTCAAGCTATTAGTCAGTACCTGGTTAAATGGCTGATGACATACCCACTAACGATTGTAGCTCATACCATCATGTGTTCATCCATCCTTCTTTCAATACTGTGCCCAGTAACGGTGTGGATACTCATGCCTGTGCAAAAACAGTTTTCCAGCAATGACTCATCCTGTTTGCTTATGGAGAAATATCCTCAATAATTGTCTCTTAAATAAAACCGTGTAATGCAACATCCTGTTTTAAGTGAAAATGACTACATACTGTAAAGGAATTTTGCAGAGAAAATCTAAATTGTGTTGCAGATGGTGACATTATGTAGCAATAATGAGCGTTCACCTCTGTGCCTTCAGAGGTTTGAACTCATGACGTCATAGCAGATTTTCTGTAACATCCTCAGGGATTTGGCTTCATAACGGCGACATCATGTATCCATGGGTCATTCAATCATGCACAGGGTGGACAGTGTAGCTGTAATGCAATTAAATAAATACAACCTTACATCAGTCTTAAACAATTCAACTAACTAACTCAACTATTATAATATATATCATTTTAGTTTTTGCTAACTGGATTGCATTATATTGTAATGGTATTTTTTTTTTACTGTTTTACACCCCTGTGAAGTCATTTTGTGTAGTTCTGAATGTACACGGTTAAAGGATTTGTTTTCATGTGACAGTGCATCTTATGTAGCAGATTTTTTTCCCCTTTGCACATGATCCACACGCAATTATACCACTCTAAGCAATTATCATGGTCACACACAGTGGATGTTCTACAGTGTTGTTTTCAATCAAATGCATTCAGTCTTATAATTTTTCTGGTCATTTTCTTTTTAGTTCGACAGAAAATAACATTTACTAAACTGTAAAGTACAAAATAATTGGCACATAATACACTAATTGTGGCAGAGGGACACATATGAATGTTTAATGGAATAAATTGAATGGTTTCTGAAAAATTACTAATATTAAGAATGTTATGTGTGAACATCATTTTACCTTTAGCTTCTAATCTCATTTATTCATCAAATGCGTAACCAGCAACACAATAGTTTTTTAACCACGTTGGACCATTTGTAGTCTACACCGACCTACCGCTACATCATTCACAATTCACTGAAGGTAACATATTCTTTGGATTTGCAGGTCACATCCTCAGCAATTTCTCAGTGAAATCAATAAATGAAGAGCTCTTCATTTTCCACTGTTGAAATGACTGACGATGCAGGTGTCTTACATCATTGATGCCTGGTCAATGAATGTGGCCATAGTGATGTCTCGCTGGGACACCCCCCCACAGTCATGTGTGCTGAGAGTAATCTGGACCTGTTAAACAAAAAGGAGCATATAACTAGAAAATTACTAGTAGATCTAATTGTGTCTCCTTTAGCTCAAAGATGTTGCTTTAATCAGAAAACTTCAAATTGAAACCAAAATACAGCATTTTCATCCCTAGCTTTCTCATTGACTTACAATGAAGCCAAAAGAAGGAGAAAAAATATTTAGTGACCATCTATCCCTGCCTGATGTCAGCTGAAGTGAAGGCCCTAAGCAGCCCAAGTGCATTTGAATGTTTTAAGCAAGTACGTTTAAAGTAGACGATGAAAACTGTCAACCCTGCTCAGGTTTTATTGTATTTTTATTTTTACCTGGGCCTTGAAGCATCAAGCTGTCGACAACACCGACATAATCACTTTACTCTTTGTTTAGCAAACAGTTGTTGTGCAAACACGGTTAGCACTCAGTCATGTTCCAGGCTTGCAAGCCACCTAATGAATGTAAGTTCAATATTTACTCTATTTTAACTCTGTTTCAACCGGTTTCAACCCCTGAAGGAAATACGGAGCTCTTTAGCCACTAAATGCTACACTGTGACAACCTGCTACTAGCTGGTTAAGCTAACAGCCTGTGTCTACCTCATGGATGTTTGGTCTAGTGTGGCGCTAAACAGTTCACAAGAACAGACTTCTTCAGAACTTTCGGGCAGAAAAGATCTGCTTAGGTCAGGAAGCGATGGTAGTAAGTAAAAGTGAACCAAAGTAGTACAGTTTTGGACTTTGCCTGCGTTAGCTAACAACTAATGTACTGCATTTGCAAGTGAAACACACGTTTTTCACAAGCTAACACTTTCTTGTGGGGAATGTCTCATTGTACACCTTACACTACACCTGTGTGAGCTAAGCTTAGACATTTTTCAGGAAGGAGTTGTGTTGAGTCAACTAAAAAGACAGTGCTTTCCAAACATAACGTTTTTCATGATATTGCAGATTATTAAAAATTATTTATGCATTTGATGCTTTGGCACATACTTGTACTCTTCTTCGGCAGAGAAAGCGAATTAGGAGTCTAACTGTGATGCAGCCTATTGACTGATGACCACTAATGCCCTAAAGTCATACACTGTATATTTACAACTTTAGGGTTGTAAATTAATTTCCTTTGCATGAATCATAATTAGTCTTTAATACCTTATTATAGACATTGAACCATTCAGGATGATGGTCCATCTTCTCAGCTTGTAAAGCCACTCTGGACATAAAACCAAAAGCCTGAAAGAAAATAACACAATGAAGTCATGCATATACAGTACATAATATACAATGGTTACTAGGTATATGGAATTTATATTATGAACCTGATTGAAGTCTTTAAAAATAAACTCTTTGTAAATGGCGTCCCGTGTCCCGAGTTCCACCCACTGAGCGTTGCGTAGCAGGGGGAGAAGGTGGGCCCTCTCCTCTTCAGTCAGACTCTGAATTTTACCAGCCTGGTATAGAGCAGAGGGAACAGTTACAGCAGATCTGAGAGGGGCAGCTTCACAAACACAAACTGTGATTGGTTGCACAGGATCCCATCTGGAAACAATGAGAGGCTGCATTCCTGGTTTAAAAAACTAGCTGGTTCAAAGGTTTGTGGTGGTGGGAGGGGGTTCTGTTTGGTCACTCAGGTCCTAATCTTGACACATGATGCAGGGTCACATGGATTTAGAGTGGCTTGTTTCAAACAGCCGAAACAAAAAATGTTAACTGCATTGTCAACATTTTATAACATTCCCTATTTTTGTTTAATTGTGCAATCGAGAGGGGTCTTATGAAGGCTTTGTGCACAGATGAGTGGTCATGCCTATAAACCAGAGCAAGCAAATGTCACGATCAAAGCCTGAAACAGAGTAATGACATCAACAGGTATCATAGCAACACTCTAATCTGCTCTATCAGTAGAGCGAATGGGCAGCACACAGACAATACTCACTGGCTCAACCCATGTCTATTTATCACATGCGGTGGCTTAGTGCAAAGACAGGAACATGTGCATATGTCAGTCTTATCCTTTCAGAATGATACAGACACATGTCAAATATATCTATCTGCATTATAAAACATTTTCTAGATTAGTTTTAGTCAATCTCATAGTCTAAAAATGGCAACAGGTGTGTGAGCATTAGGCAGCCCTCACACACTGGAGAGAGGTTGTGTACTCACCATGTTTGCAGAGTGTTTTCATGCACAGAAGAGGTTCAGCTCCAGCTCCCTGTTGCACAGATCTGTGGAGCAGCCAGTGAGAGTGACTGGAATCCAGTCTGACACATGAGCTGTAGGTCCTGCTTAGCTGCCCGTGCAGAAGCCTGCACAGAAATCCTCCCTGCTGATAGCACGAGCTTAATCATAAACTGTCATGTGTTGCACAAGGCATGCATGAGGCCAGCTATTGTGTCAGCAAACATTGCTGCACCCACAGTGTTTGATGAAAGATGCTGTTCCTTTGATACCCTCATATCTTCTATAGGAGCACATTAACTAAAACTTTTGCATAATAGCACAGTTAATGATGTCTCTATTTAACAAGACGGCATATTTTAAAGCAGACGCTGCTCTTCAGCTCACTGGAGTTCATGTCAGAGGTTAATGAGCTGCTCCTGCGAGATTGCCCCGGTGAACTCATCTGTCACGGCGAGCGCTCAGGGAAATGAACTGCTTAATGAAATGAGGAGAGGCAGAGGATGTGACAAGTGATCAACATTTCACAGTTGGCTGGGTGGGGAAGATGATAATAATGCTTCAGTGTTTAGGTTAGAAAGGAAGGCTGTGATTAAGACAAAAACATTAGATTAGAGTCAGATGGTTGTATGTGGTTGGAAATATGGCTAATCCCTCTGATGCCTACAATATTGAGATTGAGAAGTTTGCATCAATAATGCTTTTTTATTGATCATTTCTAGAACTGAATTGCAGACGAATTTTGTCCCACACATTATTCAAATAAACGCATCACAAACTGTTTAAACCTATGGTTTAAACCAACAACGTCCCTTTTGCCCTTTGACCGTTTTATTAGTGTGAGTGCTGTAAAGATGAGCAGTGGTAGCCAATGTTTTCAAGTAGCAACATGGAGCCCAGGACACTTCAAGCAAGTCTAACGATGTTAATACTTGTAACAAGCAGTTATGGAGGACACTTAACATCAGGTTAGTCTTCTAGGATACAGTGTTAGTGGGTCTTTCTAGTGTTTTAACTCTCAATAGTCTTCCTGTAGTTACAGATTGACGCAGGATTCCAAGAGCAGTTACTTTATGCCTCAAACATATTTAGACTCTCCGCTTTTGGTGTCAATCAATATTTGTTTTTCATAATCGGGGTAAACATTCAATTATGACAAATAGACCTGTCAGTTGTATGAGAACTTACTCTGTCGATAATATTGAGTCTGTGTTATGATCTTGATAATGACGGTGACCTGATACACCCTTGTGTTTTATATTTATGATGTACAAAAAGCTTTGTGTACACCGTAAATCAGTGCCGCTTTGAATCTATGCAGGGCCCACTCTGAAAATGGACCAGGCTTTGTTAATATTTCACAACCAGCTGGCAGAAGAAGTGCAGGTCTTTTACACATCAGATCACTGCTACAAGGTAAATCAAAAATATATACACGGTCTCTCTGTTGCCTCTAATTTCCAGCTGTCTGTTTGTCCAGGTTGATCCAGATATCAATAAGTGAGCAAACTTACTAAAGTTTGAGGTTTAAGTTTCTCACCAATAGCATCGTTCATGAAAACCTCAACTGCCTGGTCATTTCCACTGTCTTTCAAACCCAACATATTTAGTGTGTGGTTGAATCTCCTAAAAATCTGAAGTATAGATACCCCTGATGGCAGGATATTAAACTCTTCAGGTTTTGGGGGTTTGTCTAAGAGAAAAAGCAGACATTACATTTAAAGCTGATCTAGTCTACTATTTCTCTGCACTTTTTGATGTAACAAAAAGTTGCTTTTCTGACCTCAATTACAGTAATTCCTAACTTTTTTTATGTTGTTTTAAGTTTTTGTTTTATTGTGAAGGAAATGTAAGTAGTTCTACAAAAGAGTTGTGTGTGTTCTTTTGAGAATTTTAAAGACATTTTGAGACATGTGGATGCAATTCACAAGGAAAAGGTTCAAATGACAGGTGAAGACCAAAATATTTACTCAACTTGGAACAAGAGAAGTAAATATATTTTAAATAATTTGCACTGCCCTGCACAATGAACCTGTTACATAATAATATATTTTTCGTATTTATTTCTTTAGCACGCTGCTAAAAGATTAGCATTCAACTGCACATTCTACTTGTGCACATTCTACTTGTGTATCTGACAAATACAACTTAAAATGCGTGAATCCTAAACCATCATGTCCCCATTCCATCCCATTAAGTCTGTGTTTCACCTGTTTTCCCTTCTCAGTGTCTGTACCAGCATTTGGTCACCGTGAAGCCCAACAACAACAATGCATCTGTGGTGATCAGCACAAAATTCACTCTGACTATGCAAGTGGACTCACAGTCCAGGAATGCGACACTCTGCAGGTAACCAGTTAAACATTCTAACAAAGCATCAACCACATCAAACTACCTAAAAATGCTGATTAGTTTCCTGTTCACGCATATTAACTGCCTGTGGGAGTGTATTGCTCTGGCTTCCAGCCATGATATAGTGTGGTGGCATCCGATGACTGCCTCAGCAGTCTGTGAGATTATTTACAGGGCTGGGGGAGTAATCCTGACCTGCTTTCTGGACCTGAGTGATGCCCTCCCTTAAACCACCTCACCGGGTATCGATCAGCAGCCTTTTTGGGGTTAATAAGACCTGACATTCCAATATTGATGAAAAGGGCTCATTAAAGCGTCAAAGCTGTGCATATCCTGTTGAAACCTCTGCGGGGATGTTAACTTGAGGAGACAGTTGCCATATTTTTAAACAACCACGACTGACAAGTCAGAGGTTTCCATTTGGGGTCACCTGTAAACACGGGGCAAGATATTCGGTTGCAACATGACAGGCCTCTGGTGCCTTTTTTCACCCTCTTAGAGGTCTGATGCGCTTCTTAGATCAATGCTGAGGTCTCTAACTAGACTGCTGCCATTGATTTCCTTTTCCCCTTTGAAAAAACACTCCGAGTGATAGCTAGTATGTCATCCCAACAGTGGATCAATATGAGCATGTAATGCATGTTTTTTGGTGGCCTGGAACTGGACATGACGAGAGGACAGGGGGACGCACTTTAAGACAGCAGACACTAGGGGGTGCTGCTGAGCTTGCAGAGATTGTAGTTAGGTCTAGAGAAAACGGCAGAAAGTGAATAAAAGAACACATTTCATAATGCTTCTAAGGGAATATAATTTCACAGTGGATCAAATAAAACATCTTGTAATTGTTTGTGCTTTTAAGGGTAGTGTGTCTCAGTGTTTCACTCTTTTGGATGCAGGTGGAGTCAGACGTATGGGGAAGGTGGTCATTACTCTGTTTGGATCCAGATGTCCGAGTCTGCCAGCTGCACTGACGCTGTGGATAAAATCCCAAACAACGTCTACCTTCGTAAGTGAACAACACTGAAGGAAACATGATGATGACCTTCAGTAATCAGTCGCTCAGTTTTTAATAGAACAATTTGACTGTTATGATTTAAGCCACAGTGACAGAAAATGAACCTTGGTCCACGCTCAAGACAAGCCTTTGATCCACTCCCCACTTAATCGAGTCAGCAGAGAATCACTCGCCCTGTCCACGTCTACTGAGTAGCAATACTCGCGCATCTCCTGGGACATGATGTGTATTGATCAGATAAGAAATGCCTTCTTGAAAAGGGATAAAAGAAAAGCTTTTCTGTTTGTTTTGAAGGCCCTGACTCCGCGCGTGGAGGATTGTGGGTAATACATTAGGGAGTGTGGAAGGATTAGGGCGTAATGGGATTTTGAAAGCGTCTCTCTCTCCATAATGTACACTCTACTTAACAATATTGCAGATTATGTTGTAGATCAGACTTTTAAGGCCAAGTAGCCATTATCCAAGCAGATATATGGTCAGCATGACGGCCCCCTTCACAGTATGATGAGCTTTCATTAGCTCTGCAGACCAGTGATTATACAAACTCCCCATAGGACTTGCTCAGTTTAAGTAATGGTCTGGTCAGCAGCTCAAGACAGGTTAGAGTTGCCTTGCTAGGAAATATCAAAGTTTACTTCCGATTGATTGGCCGTGGGGCTTCATGAGGTCATTTGATGGGTGCGGTATTCTTCAAGGATATGTTTCCGTGCAGCCACTATCAGATCCACCCTTTAATCATGTTAGTACTATATTCTGCATTGTACCACAAACCACAAGTCACCTGCTTAATTCTCACAAAGAAATCCAGAATATCGACAGCCATCAAGTGTTTGTGCGACTTTAACAGACGTATCAATGAGCTGAAGTAGCTGTTTTCAAATGCCTCTATTACTTTTTCTATTTATCTGGCAATAACTTAACTAAAGAGCGAGCAGGTTGTTGCAGAGATCCAGTGTTGTGTCACTTCATGTGCTGAGAGCTTTATGGTGTTTTTATGAGTGGGCAGCAGAGATGCCAGGACTTTCCCGAGGCGATTAAGTGACCACTCTTTGTTCATCATAGTGTGGATCCAGCTCAGGTTAAAATGGCTGCTTCTTGTTTGTTTTTCCACCGAAGACAAATACGAGCTTACTTCCCCATTATTTCAGTGCTTTGACGCAAGAAGGCTATACTGCTATCTCTGTGTTATTTTTATAATCAGAAGCACTCCTATAATGTGTCTCAATGTTTATTCAATGCTGCTGGTTGGGATGGGTGAACCATGATGTAGCAGACTTGCCTTTTTTGATTGCAAAAAAATAAGATACAAATCACATTGTCATTTTTGTTGGACTAAGGTCTATTTTTGTACATTATGACGTGAAACAGAAACAGGAAACACACTTTTTGCTCCTTAAATAATCAGTAAATAAGCCTGAATTCAAGAAGGTATATTTAATTTGTTCTGTAACAAATACAATACATCTTATCTGCATTGTTTGTGCCTTACTACAAACCTCATCTTGACCCCACTCCTATCAATGATGCCCTCAGGCAGACCAGCTCTTTCCCTCTGTCTTTGTTTTTCTCGTCCTTGTCCCAGTGTAGCCTTACATTTTCTGTTTTCTACGCCTGCAGGGTTAGATTACCCAGATGGATAGACCGAGAGTTTTCCATTAGGTCCTTGTTTGTCACTTGAGGGATCCCCTTTGACACTGGTTGAATGACAGAGAGCCACAAGGGAGTCCAGAGGCGAGCGGAGCAGACAGTTTGGACTGCTAATCAGGCCTTTTATTCCTAGTCAGATCCTATTCTGACAAAGTTGTACAGTATAAAGCTCCTGACATTGACTTCCAGACAGACTATGACGTACAGGCTCGCAGTCTAAAACAATTTCCCTTTTTTGTATTCCAGCTCTCCTGGTAGCAGCTCTCTTACTGGGCGTAATCGCTCTCTTATTTGCTGTGGCACCCTACATCTTCAGGTACCCATATGTTTTTTACATCATCCACAATGAAAATATCTTCCTGCATTGAGTACTTCTCCATCTGAGCTAAAACCTCTCATTTACAGGAGGCGTTGCCCCTCCGAATGTACTAAGTCCATTTGCTGCCAAGGCTCACAGTACTCAGTGGATAATGTAAGTACAATTCTGCTTCTAATTATTGTATTAGATTTAATTGATTGTATTTGGATCAATCATAAACCAATCAAATGAAACTAGTGGAAATCTCATCAATATCAACTCTACATTTTGGACATCCTAAACATCTCAGTATGAACATATAAATGTAAGATTTATGGGTATTGTGGGTATTTCATAAGTTTTGTTTAGCCCATTATCTCCTGGATATTAAGTGTTCAGTAGAGCACTGCACACAAAATGCACCACCTTTCCTTACTGCACAAAATGATTTGCTTTCTTTATATTCAAATATATAATGTGCCTTAGTCCAACAGTAACATTGCATTATTTCCATTGGCCAACTACGCAGCCTGGGATGCATTCCAAAATGGCTCTGAGACTCCAGTCATCAAGACGTTTGGGAGACACTAATGGAATGATTGATACAAATGTTAGCAGAGCCAATTGTATAGCAGACTTACATGGTAGAGATAGAGCGCATATCCGTCCAATCATCTTGCTTGATGGCAAGAGCTGCTGTGTAATTTTGGTGAGCATGAATGGCCCCTCTCATTCTTCCAAGCAAGATGTCTGTGTCTTCCATATGTTGTGTGTTTGGCATGCAGATCCATCATAACATATTAGTGTTGGTGTCTTCCTGCTCTGGCTCTTTAAACTCCGGCGTGGAGGCCAGCGAGTCAGGCTAATCCAACCGAAAGGGCAACAGGCCAGAGTCATCTCAATGCTGCCTTCACAGACAGAGGGGAAAAAGAGGCGCCGACACACAGAGGATGACCCAGGATAGAAAGATGGCCAACATCATTTTAAGGAGTTCCAACCCCTGTGGCAATTGGATGTTTGTTTTTTTCAACATTTTTACATGTCAGGAAAATTATAGTTATGTAACATTTACAAACAAGTTTAACATAAGATTACTTTTCTTGTCTAAAAGTTAAAGAACGAAGGGTACACATCAATGTGATCCCGACAGGAGACAGAACTGTAATTCTAACATAATAATAATAATAATTTACTTCTACAGAAGAGGATCATTTCATACTTAATGTCAATTAGCAGAACCCGTCAGCTATTAAAAGAGCTATTATATATATAGTATATATATACTGTTAGCATTCAAAGCAACATGAGGGCTCCTAAGAGAAAATAAACTTAATTATTTAAAGGTACAAGCACTAATCAATATTTTTGTATCAACATTCCATCAAATGACTACGTGAGAGAGGAAGGGCTCGCACATATTGGCAAACCGACACAATGTTATCATTTGATTCTGCAGTTCCTTTCAGTGCTACGCAGCAGTTTAGCATCTTTCAGCTTATGGTTTTGTTCAGTTTTTCTGCTGTCTTTAATATAAATAATTTTACCGCTGTCCCAAAGTGGCCAAAAGAACTGTTACATTTCTTTAAAGGTCTCCTATTATGCAATTTTTAGGCATATATTATGGGTCTCAGATATAAATATATAAAAACATGTCTATGATGTGTTTTGCTCAAAACAAATCATGCATTTTAGACACCCCTCATATCCCTCTGTTCCAGCCCTGTTAGAGAAACGCTGATTTGGGGTCCTTAGCTTGAAAAAATAAAAAAGGAGGAGGGGGAGCTAATACCTGCTCAGAATTACCCGGCAGATACAGTTAAATTCTGCCGTGATTAAATGCCATCATGTTCCAAACCGCATCAAGGATTATTTCTGAAACAGTATGGAGCTCAAATGCTTTTTCTTTACCACAAGGTGAGTTCCTTTTTTTATTTCCTGCTTTTTTACACATACTCTCTCCAGCACAGGTTAGCTCTGAGTGTAAATGTGAAGCTGACCGACCAAGCAAGGAGGCAGAGGCAGAGAATTCAAATATAACCCGGTGTGGGCATTTATTCATCGCTGTGGTACAGGATACACAGCCTCAATATTGCTGCCCAGGTGACCACAGTCACCAGTCACAAGGATCTCACCCACACTACCAGCCTTCACCAAACAGGAAACACAGAGCCTAAATACACACCCACTAATCAGCAATTAGACACAGGTGAGGGGGGAGCAATTAGACACAGGTGGGGGGGGGAGGAGACAACACAGGGCACCAGGTGAACATAATCAGGAGTAACAGAAAGAACGGGAGGGGGAACACTTTTCAAAATAAAATACATGTGCAATATACAAGGCCCGAAGCCGTTAGTCCACATTGTGACAAAGTTACCTTCGTCACAGTAAACAAAGACCATATTACGTCCAAAACACATCAGGCATTGTTTCTGATGGCAACTTTCTGACAGTGCCGTGGGTCCGCATATCCGATATGACGTAATTTACGTCATATCGGACGCAAATCTGGATCAGCTCCGTTTTTAGAGATTTGGGTATGGAGGACGAAGAGAGAGGTTTTTTTTTTCTTCTGACACTTTGTGAGTTTCCTGACACTCCAGGGACAAATATGTATGTATAAAAGACATCAAAAAGTGCATTTTGCATGATAGGTCCCCTTTAATACGCTAAATTTAAACAATGCAAACACCACTCTCTTCCCTCACATGTTCTGTATATCTCAGCTATCACAATCATATAAAGGCATTCAGACAATGATTCTTATTTTCAGGTGGTTATATGCAAATGAAAATATTTGTTCTGCCAATAAATGCCCTTAAATCCTACAAACTGGTCCTATAAGGATTCTTGCTAAGATGTGTATGTACAAAAATGGTGTTAAATTACTTGACATCTTGTTGTTCTACCCTAACAGGATGAGGCACAGGCTTGTGAGGCAGAGGAGGAAAATACCACTAAAGCCAAACCAACACGTCTGCTCTCACTGGACACTTTCCGAGGGTATGTCCGCCATCAGTAACCATCCTGTTTATCAGTCTATCACCACATGCGGCTCGTTCACATGCTAATTCCTTTTGGAGCAGTCTGAGGCATGATAAAGATCTACAGGCCCATCATAATGAATAATTACAGGGGTCACAGTCTGGCCACATGCTCCCCCAAAGCTTTTGTTATCAGGCGGTATAGCTTTGGGCATGATTTCTGATATCAGAGCGTCTTGGGTTTGGAACAGTGTGTTCCTGTTGGACAGGAGTGATGCATGTGATTGAATCTCCCTGCTAGCCTTAATTGTGGCCTGGGGGTAGACACAAAGCACGCCTCTCTGGAAACAGGATGCTGGTGTGGCTTTGACCTCCCCCTAGCCAAATAATTGATGTAATAATACAGTCGACATATCAGCACACATCCACACGGCCATAGATCTCCTGCCAAAATAGAGAACGAGAGGAAATCCAGCAGCACAGAGGCAGCGTCCAGCAGACAATTGGCATCTTCTCCATCTGTGGCTTCCTTTTGGATGAAAAGCCATCTGAAACCACTGTGCATATGGGCTGAATTCAAAACACCACATTGTATTATTTACTCTGGGAGCGGTATTGGTTAAATACCCTTAAAGGGGCCTCAATAGGATTGTTGGGGTTTTCCCTTACCTGTAGTATGTTATATACATTTCTGTGCATGTAAATGGTCTTCAAAGGCTAAAATCCATACGTTCCCTCCAGAGAGAGTGAATCCCCCCCTGCCTGAAACGCCTCAATTGGACTCCTTTGTTTACTTCTATAAGATTTTTTACATCACTATTTAACACTCACGCTTCTATTGGTTAGCGCTCCAACACTTTGTACGTGATAGGCTAAGGGTGGTTGACCAATCAAAACAGAGCTGGCCAGCTAACCAATCCGAGCAGACTGGGCTCTGGTTGGACCTTTTTGAACATTAAAGCTTGTAAGTAAAGAGGTCCCAGTAGAGGCACAACATACAAATATGAACCTGAAAATGAGCAGAAGAGGGACCCTTTAAACCAGATTTTACAAAAGGTTCAAGGAAAGGCTACATTTTGATTTCATTTCTTTCTGTTATGCTGTTTGCCGCTGAGCAATCTTATTAGATGAAATGTCTCTCTGGGGTTACAGATACTTGTCACATATTGACATCCTTATAGGTAATACTGGAAATTCTCATAACTGACAACACACTTAATCAAACTGTGACTCAGCACTCAAGATTAACGCTGCGTTGCCTCCTCAGCCCTGTGACTTATGATCCATACTCCCTGATAAGTAACAACTTTCTGCTGAGAACAGACACATCATCTACCATAAATGCTGAGACATTTCTGATGGCAAAATGCTTTTCTCCTGAGCTGAAAGGTTTTTCTGATCATTGCTCAGGCTCCACTGACATGATATACAGAGAACAGTGGGGTACGGTTGAACGTTAATTTTTCTAAAAGGATTTGCATTTTAATCTTGTGCCACACTGCTAAAAGCCTGTCACCAGTTCCCTTGCTGTGGGAAATCGCACCGTCAGTAGTTCATACAACAGAAGGAACAACTATTACAGCAAAACAATGGATTGTCGTTTGCATTTAACACCAGGTGGCTGACTCATTCCGTTCCTTATTTTTTACTAAGCTCCAAGTTTTCCTCCGATTCAGTTTCAGATATGCTCTGATGTTTGGCCACACAAAAAAAAAGGAACCTTGGCATTCCCACTCAAGCAGTAATTTATTATGACTAGATTGGATGTCAGTGTATTTGATATGGCCAGTGCAGAAGGTAACTCAATACTCTGCAGTGATAGAGTGTAACTATCCATTTGCAACGGGGAAAAGTACTAAGCTAACACTCTAATTGGTAATGCATGTACAGTGATTCAAATCAAAGAAGTCCATAAGCGTCTATCAGTGAGTCATAACCAGTTGTCACTGCTGCGAGAAAGACATGTATATCTGTAATCCGTTAGCTATAAATCACATATACTGATTCCCGAGGCATGAATAAAGTCTATTACCGACGTGACAAATTCTCATTGGAGAGCTTCACGGGGATATTTACAACTTCAACCTGATTAGTCACCAGGAAACAAGCCTGTGGAGCTTTAACCTGGATATTGTATTAACTTTGGTGCAACATAAAAGAAAGTGATCTCAGATCCCATCATATTAATCATTTATAGTTTCCCTTAATCACAATTAGCAGACACCAGTGACGCCTGTGTGCTGCCTTTGAAATGTAATCTACCTAAAATAGAGCTCTCATTCACAATGAGAGTGTTTTGATTAAATAAATGGCCAATAAGCCCTGGTATTGCAAGGACTTTCACCAGGCTCCCATGTGGCCAGAGATTTAACCTGTGTCTTTGTCACTATGGCGACTAATGGATTTGTTCGTCAAATTTTAAATGATAGCCGGCATGCAGATGGGTGCGTGCGTGAGAGAGATTAGTACACGGACACATGCAGCCAGGTTTACCTTACTTTAATAGCCCTTTTGAGATGATAGTGGCCGATTAGAATCTTGTATCAGCAGGTTGGGGCTAAAAGAGCAGTAATGGCTTTGGTGCACCTCTTAATTCAATCTGGGCAGAAAAACAAGAGGAGGCAGTACAGTGCATCTTATCAGAGAGTCTATTTCTTAGAGGTTGTCCTAATCTTATTGTCTAATTTATTTTTATTGAATCAAACTTGGATTAAAAGCTTAAATTCAAGTATTTAACATGGTTAAACAATTGAATCTGCCTCTATAGCCAGACCACGCAAATATATACATATTTACCCACCCAAGTTTGTGTTGTGTAATGGCCCCCACTCGTTTTCTGACATGCAACGCAAACACCTTTTTCCCCCAGTGTCTGATTCAGTGAAGCACTCCATCACGTGTGCTGTGTTTCAGCAGCCTTGGCCAGTGCTAAAGCATAAAGTGTATCATATATTAGAAGCAAAGTCTTTAGTCAGCACTCCTGCTTGAGGAGATCCAGAGGACAAGTGCTCATTTCCTGAGTGATTCATAATGCTTAGATTGCATTACCTTGCATTTGGAGTGTGACAGAATAAAAAAAGCCCCTCCCCTCCCCTCTTTAAATGTAATTCAAAACCGAATATTGTATCAGATGTATACGTTACGTTTTAAGAAAACAGCTATGATATGACACAGTTATGCTGAATTCAAAACACATTTAACCCTAATTTCCATCATTTACTGAATGAAAAGAATCCAATTGTTGCTGAATAACTCAACAGCGTGCTATAGTGCTTACTCATTGTAGTGTCTTTGTAGGTTTTCCCTGACAGTGATGGTGTTTGTGAACTACAGTGGGGGAGGCTACTGGTTCTTCCAACATGCACCATGGAATGGTTAAGTATATGATATGCACAGAAATACATCTTAAAGGGGCCCTATTATATACATCTTCTGGTTCGTATTTGTATGCTGTGCCTCTAATATGTTGTGTCTCCATGCTTTCATGTTCAGAAAGCTCTTTATTGTTCTCATACTGTCTGTGCTGCAGCACCTCTTTTCACCCTCTGTCTGAAACCAGAGCCCAGCCTGCTCTGATTGGTTAGCTGGCTCTGTTGTGATGTTGGTGAACTACTTAGAGATGTTCCACACCTTAGGCTATTAAGTTCAAATTGTTGAAGTGCTAGCCTATAGAAGCGCGAGTGATAGTGATCTTACTATGTTACAGAAATGTAAACAGGAGTCCAATGGAGGAGTTTTGGGGGGAGCCTTTGCAGACCATTTACATGCAAAAAACACTATTTGTCTTCCCTTATCATATAGATCTGATAAAAGCAATGATTAGGGATTTTGTTGGCTCATTGGATTATTGCTAAAAAATAAACTATGTGGCATATAAAGGTTTATGGTACTTTCACATTTTGTTCCAACACGGAAAAAAAAAATGAGATTTAGAAACATAAATGCAATCGCCAGAAGTAAAAATCTAGTGTTTGCATGTAATCACGTCACCACCGAAAAACGTAATAATATTTCAGCATGATGACATGTAGTTTAATTTAACCACTTGTTAGGAATTGTCTTTTTTTCTTCACCACAGACCTTATTTCGGCATCCAACGAAAAGCCCATTAAAAAAACATTTACTTCTAGATGCAGGAACAGAAATTGCGAAAATGCTGACTCATTTCCTGGTTTAAGGACTCATTCCTGTAACCCTCTATAGCTGAAAGGACTGACAGCTCACAGTCTGCCTATACTTGTAACATTTATGTATGCCTTCTTTCAACTCAAGCCAGATATGAAATGAGTGCATGAACTCGAGGCAATTATTCAACAGCAGCAATCTCCTCATTGTGTCTGCAGCATTTTCTGACCTGTTGTCACTAATTATGATTAATGCAGTCTCAAACCAAACACACAGGATGCCATTCCTCACGCCAGCCAAATCAAAAGGCACGATCCATAGATCCGTGTTGTTATTAACAACCGGGGAGGAGACGAGGGGAAGGAGGGATGAGATTTTAAATGGCAGCTGAGCTGGGAGAATATGGGAGGGGGCAGTGAGGGAATGACTGCTACGAATTCTGCGTCCCTTTTCCCCATGAATATAAAAGTTTAAAATGTCACTCAAACGTAGTAAATCCATGTCAGTGTTTAGAGGTGTTCTCAATTTAAATCTTATAATAGCCTGTCTGCCACATATACAAGTGTGTATTGATTTCAGCGCGGTTTGATTAATCTCCTTATTGCCTCTGTCACAGGAGTGTAGATATTTATTCACCTTTTGGAAATAGAAAGATAATGACTGATCAGCATTTAGGGACATAACATTGTTCTTAATCCACCTCCTAGTCCTTTTGGATTGAAGAGATTAGGAAAGGTCAAGAACTCTGTATAATGGCATTAAATACAAGTATCAGTGTCTATTCATATTCATGTTTGCCTCTGGATTCGTTGCAGGCCTTACTTTGGGAGACATTGTCATGCCATGGTAAGTATAATACAAGAGGACTGTCATATATTCTCACTCCCATTATAATTCACTTAAATATGCATATTTATTTGTGTCTTACTCGTGTTTTATTGTTATTTCTTCTAGGTTTGTGTTTATTATTGGGACTTCGGTGGTGTTGGCTCTCAGATCCATGCAGAGGAAAGGAGTCAGCCGCCTGCAGCTGCTGCGCAAAATCACCTGGAGAACAGTCGTCCTGCTGATGCTCGGCTTCTGCTTCCTCAACTACTCTCCCAGAGACGGACCACGTACGTGAGACATATGCAGCACTCAATTATTAATGGAACAAATACTTTATATGTGGATGTGTTTGTTCTGTACTTTTTGATTTGATCTATAAGGGGGAAATGAACATAGACGCTGGCAGGTCTAATAATATGTCCAATTGCACATGTACAGCACTCAGAATCATTTGAACCACAGAAAGAGGCAAACAATACATTTGCTGTTGTATTAAATATTTTGAAGCAGATTTTATCACAAGGATTTTTCAAGATGCATTCCATATAGTTACGTGTAGCTTGTAGGTTAATCAATCAGTCAATCAAGAGAAAATTATTGAGCTACTACTTTGATAATCAAGTAAATGTTTCAGTCATAGTTCGACAAAATATGCAATACTTTTGATGGTTTCACCTTGTGAATGCTCTTTGAGCATCATAATAAATTTGTATGCATGTAATGGTCAAAGCAAAACAAGACGTCTTTTAACAATAGCTTGGGTTATAGGAGTAATCATCAGCATTTTACTTGTTTCAAAGGCAAAACAGATATTTTATGAATTCAGAAATTGTTAGAAGACTTGTTGTTTATGAAAACACCATGTCTTATAATAAGGAGTAATCTACATATTTTTAGTATATTTATAACATGCAGAAAACTGCAGTTTGTCAAGTGACAAAGATCTAGTATATGTTTAAATCCAGACTTGTGATAAAAGCCAAAGCTGCAAGGCCGTGTCGGGGGTTATAGAAGGGGAAGCTGGCTGAAAATCCACATTTCATTGTCCACCTGGGGATGCACGGGGCGCCCCTCACACATTAGCCCTCCCCAGCGCTAATGGACTTTCCTGGGTGGATGTCTGCGTAACTGGGTTAACAAAAATATTGTTATTGTGTGTGTAGTCTAAAAATCTAGCACCGGGGGACGTTTAACTGCAGCGGATTGAGCAAAAACAAGCGCTGCGGTAATGGACAATTACAAACAGATAGTGTTACACTCTTCAGCCCCATGCAGCTGCTGTGGAGGCTGGAGGCATAACAGCACACTGACTTTACCATAAACTGCAGCTCTGCCCTCCGTCTCCAAGGATGTCCTCTGCAGCTCTGTCCCAGGGTTTGATCTAATAAGAGAATGGAGTCATATCGGCTCAATATGTTAAACCATTTCAATGTCAGACGAGACAGAAGAAGGTGTTAACCTTTGACAGAAACTATGAGTCATTTCAAATAAACCTTGCTACGGTTAGATGCACAAATCATTGTCAAAGCAGAGACCTTGAAACTCCAATATATTTTTATTTTGTCCCTTTATTGAAGCACTTGCATAATACTTTATTTTAATGGTTACATTTCACATTCCATTAGATTAACTCAAAACGTAGTGTGATGAAGCTAAAAATGTGGCTGTTACTCTTAAATCCTTAGAAGTTGACGTTTTCGACATACAACAATATTATTTACCTTAAGACGACAGTGTTTTCAAAGTTTGATCTCTGACTATTCATCAGTTTTTTATTGTTTTTGGATGGTGACAAGCTACAAGAAATGATAATGCTACGTCCACACGGTTCCGTCGCGTTGAAGCTTGCCAGTCTGGCATGCGACCAACAACCAATCACATGAATCTTCCGCCCCGGACACACAAGCACACGGTTTGATTGGCTAGCGCTTGTACTGGCATATGATTTGATTGGCTGGCGCTTCCGTCGACGCTTGAAAAGTTTAACTTTTTTCAACTTTCAGCGCGAGCAACGGATGCAAAGTGACGAGACGGAACCACAATGCAGTTCGGCAAAGCTTGACGTCACCCCATTCAAAGTGAATGGGAAGCGTCTCCCTTGAAGCACGCAACGGAACCGTGTGGACGTTACGTAAGTCAGATAAAGATGAGGTCAGAAGGTCGAGTTCTTACCCCGGCAGTAGACAAGCCTTCAGACGATGAGAAACCCATCTTTTTGAAACTTTTCTAGTATTTGCTAGACTTTCTGATGGTTTAAGTCTGTTCTTCTCACTTCCACCACATAATCATTATTTTTGTTTAATCTATCAGTGAAAGTGCTCAGAGATGGGAAGCAGACAGCCAAGCTTTCACTTCTTAAATGATATTGAACATCAAAAAGGGTCTCAATTTCACACAAAAAACTTAAATAAATTGATCAGAAAAGCAGTTCTCTTTAAAACTGTAAGACTTTCAAGATACATTTTTATATAATATTACACAATATATGTTGTGGGGGAACAGATATAGTAAATGTTCATGGTGGGAGTGTGACCTGCATATTTAACAAATGTGTCATAAGTAAGAGCTTCCTCTTTTCCTGTGAAAGGAGACATTTCCGCCTCTTATTTGATTTGCTTGGATCAATTAATGGGATTACGCTGTTTTCATGGCACTTTGTGTGGCAAAAAGGTTTTCAATTAACTAATGTGTAGATTACCATCAATCTCTCAACCACAAGCCAATCTTATCCTCCCCAATTTGTCGAGACAAAGAGATAACTGGGAATCTTTTATTTGCTTCCCACGTTCTTGACATGTCTGTTTCCTGTAGGCTGACACCATCCACGGTGCTGTCCGTCATCCTCCTTCAGGAAGATGGAATGGAATGGAATGATGGAGAAGATGCTCACGTGTCCAATATTGTCTATTTCCTGATTTATAATTTGCTCACATCAGCAGGAATAGTTATATATCTGTGCTGGTACCTGAGTTGTAAGATCATATATTCATCACTGAGTATCAGAGCATGCATGAGGGATCATGATGTTGACTGTGTTGCAGTGTCCTGGTCCTGGCTGAGGATCCCTGGGGTGCTGCAGCGTCTGGGCTTCACCTACTTTGTCCTGTCTCTCCTGCAGACTTTCTGGGGCCATGAAGAAATTCCACTGCGAGCGGTGAGCAGCTCTGTCAGGTTCACTTTAGTCTTTCATTACACACCAGGGGATAAAAAAAGTCCTGCCTGGAACAAAACATTTATAAACAGCTAATTCACTGTGTGCGCCTTGAATTCCTGGGTACATCAAAGCCGTACAATTTAACATTTCATCTTAAAACATTCTGAAAATGACAGGACCTATGTTATATGTTTTTTAATTTCAGTAATCCCAAAATGTTTTAAATCCTAGAGAATTGTGTCAGTTTAGTCCAATACAAATACAAAAAATTAAACTGCTCTTTACTGGTGTTACTCACCGTGTCTCATTGATCCTTGGAGGCAATGTCTGCGGATCATTTGCCACCTGTTATAAATGTCCTAATAGCATGGATGTTAAAGGGGACCTATCATGCAAAATGCACTTTTGTACGTCTTTTATACATGAATATTTGTCCCCGGTGTGTCAGGGAACTCACCAAGTGTCAGAAAACACAACCCTCTCTCTTTTCCTCCATACCCAAATCTCTAAAAACGGGGCTGCAACGGATCTGATACAGACTGATACAGATTTGAAATATCTCTGACATCAGACACAAGGAGCTCCGCCTATATGGGCAACTCTCCACCTATCAGGGGAATGAGAGGTTGTCTGGCATGGTAACAGCATGGTAACAGCATGGTAACATGACGCTCGTGCCTCGCCCCCCTGCAAAGGAGCTGTGGTCAGCTGCAGCTCATTTGCCACAGAATCAGCCCTTGCAAAAACAGGGCTGGAATACAGCAAATAGAGCGAAATGAGGCATGGCTAAAATGCATGATCTGTTTGGTATTTTGAAAAAAAAATTCACAGACATGTTTTGTATAGGTATGGCCCTACAATATATGTTTCAAATATAGCATGATAGGTCCACTTTAAGTTAACAGAGAAACGTCGGGTTACGTATTGTAACCCTTGTTATATTAGCACAGGCGGAGCCCTCTACTGGACTCTATGGGTACTACCTTATCATGCAAGCATTCACCTACTGAGATTTCTATGGACGTAGCCGGCCCCGGGGCGGGCCTACCTGAATGCGTGCGCATTAGGGATGTGCATCTCCATCACTGAGGCCGATGCGATGCGCATCTCGATACGTTGCCACGATACGATACATTAACGATACAGTTGAAACACCAGGCGATGCGATACGATACGATTCACCCCTGTTGCGATACAGTTCGATACGATTTGATTCAACATTATGCGATTCGGTGCGATACGATGCGATTCAACACGATGCAAAAATAATGATACTTCAATTTGGTACGACAGAGGATTTTTGTTTTATTCCTTATATGCAGCAAATCATACATTAACAAAAAAGTGCTTTACATATTTGGTACTGCACATCCCATCATGCCGTTTATTTTTTTACCTTTAAAAGCTCTCCAGAGTACAATTGTATAACACCTCACACTTAAACAATGTAAGGATGCATTGCTCATGATTAACAATGTGCAAATAACAGAGCAATGCCCATACAGCTGCCAGCCTGATGTGCTTAACACTCATTCATAAGCTAACTCACCAGTGAGCAGAAAGCGGTGGGTTCTATATGAACAATAAATAATACAAATAACCTTTCACAAACAGGTATTTCATAACTGCTTACAGTGAGGAATACATTTAAATTATTATTGGCCGTCACAGGCTGCTGTAAACTAAACACCACTCTCTCTGACAGAACACCTCACTGAGTGATTTAACTCATATGTCTAACTTTGAGGTTTCTCTTTTCGCCGCAGACCCCATGTCGACTCTGCATGTGCGTCGCTAAGTTCCTCGTACTACTTGTGTACTTTAAATCGGCTCGGCATCGTTAACAATTTGCGAGCGATTTTTCAAGTTGACCGTCTGTGCCGCGCACATATACCATCAGGACGTTACTGATGGGGTGCGGCTGCGGAGTGATACTGTGTGTATGCAAGCCCGCATCTAGGACGGATCTATGTATCATGGCTGTAGACCTGTTAAGTAATAAAGATACCTCATACAAAAGTCTACGGATACCTTATTACTCTCCATGACCTGCGGTCAACTATATAGCCTAGCATAAAGGACTATTACACCGTCTTTCTTGAACAATCCGAAGTGTTACCAAACGTTTGATTTGTAGGTATTTTTTGGTGCGCTGTGTTTCTCTTTCTCCTCGACTTCCGTGTGTGTTGATAACTGAGACTCTCGGCCTCCGTAGTGGCGAAGCAAATATCAAAAATCGTCTCTGCTGAGCGTTGACAAGATTAGGGGATTTATATGAATGAATCGGTTTTTTACCGATGCAAAGACGCTACGCAATCGATGCATCGCGAGTTCAACCCGGTTCAACCCAAACTGTAGCCGATGTGCACTCTTTCAACCGGTGCACTCGCATCTTGAACGTTTATGCCGGTGCACCGATGCGAATCGGTGAATCTTAACATCTCTAGTGCGCATCTCACTTCCGTATAAAAGGAGGCCTCGCCTCCTGACCATCATCCTACACCACTCTTCAGCAAGCGGTATAGGACAGACAGTGCCTCCAAGGTAGAGGGCTCCGCCTGTGCTAATATAACAAGGGTTACAATATGTAACCCGACGTTATATCTCTCACAGGCTCCGCCCTCTACTGGACTCTATGGGTACAGTGGGCGGAGCCCCGATGTATGCACGCACTGTCGTCCAGCACACCGTTCCACCTCACTGTCCCTGACCGGCTTTAGCAGCCACTGCGCCTCACTCACCTCTCCCTCGGTTGTAACCGTGGAGAAGTCTGGGCTGCGGCCGATAGAGCACACCATGACGCGCTTGCCTCGCGAAAAAACGTGTGCTCGAAAAAAACAGTGCTGAGGGCTCCCCTGCATCCACCTATAGGCAGACAGGGAAAAAAAACCAGCCCTGTATGGGTTCACTATGCACTCTCCCTCCTGAGTCCCTAAAGAGCACGGGGAGAATGCAAGTGCCCCCTATGTCCCCACACTCAAACACTGACCCCGTGCAGAGTATGTAGGGACTATAGTATGGAGGGCTCTCCCCCTCCTGCCCCCAGGCAGGCGAGGGGAGCCCTCCAGCCCTGAAAAGGGCCCAGAGCACCCCAGAGCACCCCACGTCCCCCGCGACCCCCCAGGGGTCCGGAGAAACGTAAGGGCATTTTACGCCCGGGGAGAGGGTCAGATGCCCACTGACCAACAGCCCCCCCCCTTCCTCACCAGTCCTGTGTTGCCCCAGCAAACACAGACGTTGAGAAAGAGCCAGACATATCCAAGAGATAACACTTTATGAAGGGGCCTGGCGTTGACCAAGACGCCGCCGTGCATATATCCTCCACACTCGCACCGTTGAATAAGGCTGTTGATGCAGCCACAGCTCGTGTGGAGTGCGCACGGACCCCCGTGGGACAGGCTCTCCCTGCCTGCTCGTAGGCGTGTGCAATGCCTTCGCAAAGCCAGCCTGCCAGGCGTTTCTTGGACAGAGCTTTTCCAGTCACCCCGCCCCCGAAGCACACAAACAGCTGTTCAGTGCGTCTCAGGGTAGCGGTGCGCTCTACATAACATGCTAACGCGCGCACCGGGCAGAGGAGGTGTAATTTAGCTTCCCTGGCCCCACCATGGGGTGGAAGACTAAATCCCCCCAACTGAATAGCCCTCGACCTGAACGCACTCCTTAGGTTCTTGGGCACAAAGGAGGGGTTCGGTCTGAGTGTCGCGCCGCTCCGGTCACCCCGAATCAGTAAACAGCTCGGGTGCACCGACAGAGCGGTTAACTCGGACACTCTTTTGGCTGACGTTAAGGCAAGTAGCAATGCTGTCTTCCACGACAGTGCTTTCAGAGAGGAGAGCTCCAGAGGCTCAAATGGTTCTGTGACCAAAGCCTCGAGCACCAGCGGCAGGTCCCACTGCGGGGTGGAGGCGCACACTACTGGGCGCAGCCTCCTGACCCCCTGTAAAAACCGCAACATCAGTGGATGAGAAAAGGCTGACCTGCCGTTGAATCCCTCATGACAGGACGAGATGGCTGCTGCATACACCTTTTATAGTAGAATGAGCTAGTCCTCTGTCCACCAATAACTGTAAGAAGGAAAAAATAGAGCCCAACTCACAAGATAGGGGCTCCACTTTCCGCTCCTCACACCATCGCTGGAATCCCAGCCACTTTGGCCTGTAACAGGCTTTGGTGGATCCCGCTCTAGCTGCCTGGATAGACTGAATAACGCTATCAGACAATCCACCCTGTTTCAGCATGTCCCTCTCAGGAGCCAAGCCTGGAGAGGACGGCCCAGAGTGGGTAACGCCCCGATTGCACCTGCCTCTTGAGACATTGCCCCCCAGAACTGGGGAATCACCCAGGGCTGGCCCACCTTCATCTGCGTCATTTCTGAGTACCACGGAGCCCCGACGTGATCCGGTGCTACCAGGATGACTGCCAAACGTTCTCGCCTCACTCTCCCCAGGAGAGGGAGAAAGAGACGCAACGGTGGAAAGGCGTAGTGCAGCTTCCTTGGCCATGGCTCGTGTGCAAACGCGTCCACCCCCAAAGGCGGGTCGTCGCTCAGGGCCATGGAAAACCACAGGGCACAGTGGCCGTTGCGCCGGCTGGCGAACAGATCCACTTCCGCTCTCCCGAACTGGGGCCAGATCTGCTTCACCACCTCTGGGTGAAGCACCCACTTGCCTGGCAGGGGGCCGCCCCTCGACATGAGGTCGGCTCTCCTGTCCTTCAGTCCCGGGATACGAAGGGCTCTCAGAGCCACCTCTGATGCCCACAACCACAGCCTCTCCGCTGTGGCCAACAAGGCGGCGGAGCGGACTCCGCCCTGCCTGTTGATATAAGCCACTGTGGTGCTGTTGTCGCTCCTGACCAATTTGACATGTCTCCCTTGAATTAGGGGCATGAAATGCTGGAGGACTAACACTACCGCCCGTAGCTCTAGGAGGTTGCTGTGTCATGTTTCCGTTAGAGACCAGCGCCCACCTATAGCCCTCTTCAGGCAGGTCCCTCCCCAT